TGGTTTCTCGAAGGGAGGAAAAGAAGACTTGTGGGGTTATATATACAGATCTCGTGTTTAGGGGAGGTGCATTCGAAACCCCGCTGCAGGATACAGCATTTTCATTCTTGAAGGATCCACTGGAAACTTGTGATTAACAAAAGCAGTTATAATATATCTTCAGCCTGCTGCTGCAGCCCAAGGCTGTACTGTGGCTTCCGACCCTCGGACTCGACCAATACCTTGCTCAAGCACTGGAAAGTCTGAGACTGGTTCCGCCGGTCAGGGCCTGATCATTAGGATTCTTTTGAGTTGCCATCACTGGTGCGGCCGAGTACTCTCCAAACGGCCTCATGGCGTTTAGCACCGCAGTGAACAACTGACTCTGACACAGAAGTCACAATTATAAGGCTATGATGTATCCCCGAGTAAATGTCAGGGACACCCTCAGATTTAACCTGGCAGGTGCGGATCTAAAGACAAACACGAGGCATCCAGCGAGGAGACAGAGAGCCTTGGTCTTTCGAAAGAGAAAGGATATCGATGCACCTCCTGAGGGTTGATTTTCTGTTAGGTCCTTTCCATCAGTCAGGGTGAACCGGAAATATACATATAGCGCTCCATGGCTGTGGCACCGTGACTTCTTGAAACACGTCGTGCATGATGCATCGATACGATAGAACACATGGCTTTGGACGTAGTTACAATCATCCAAGAAAATTCCAGTGGATCACCCGTCAGGAATGAGTGCTGGATTCAGCGAGGTTTCCAATGGGCCTCCCCTAAACACGATATCCGTATATATAACCCCGCAGCCCTTCTCTTCCTTTCTTTCGGGAAACTAGTACTATCTACTCGTGACCCCACTTTTTGCGAGACGAACCTGGTCGCCACAGTAAGCTGACTTCCTCAACACCTTTATGATTCATCGTTCTTACTGTAATGTAGGGTGACTCGAGCTAACTCCACTTCTGCCGAAGAGGTAGTCGTGGTTTGCCTTCCCATTTTGTCTCAACTAGTGTTGAGCTAGTGGCCTGGCAAGACTCCGAGGGATGAGGTGAGCTTTCTCTTAGAAATGATCCTCAAACACGATCTGATCAAATGCTGATCGCAGCTCTATATATCATATTTGGCTCTTTCCTGATGAAAGTTTTGGGTCCTTCGAGATATCTCTCAAGGCACCGGAACTTATTTGGTACGTTAGTTGTTCTAACTTTCTGATTCATTGCTTATTAGTTTCGTCAGACGGCATCGACTTCGGACCCTCTGCCCGTTCCATCCACCATGATAGCTTGGCCTACGCAGTGGTTTGCTGAGATGCACTCCATGCACGTGCCTAAGAACGCATCGGGGTGGTTGCGCATGGTTCAACCGTAGCGATTCTGTTAGTGTCTCAAATTAAATAACCCAGGACGAAAGTCTCGGTCTCTTGACCGAGCCTACGTATCATTTGTCAAGTTGTGATATGTAGTAGTTACGTTGAATTGAAATAGTTGACATAGCGCTCTTCGTGATAAGAACACCACTGCTTGATATCCAGCAAAGTTGAAGAAAACAAATTGACTCAGTTCTTCGCTCCTGTATGGATATGAACAGCCTGGTTGCTTACGTCGAGGATGTCGATGGGCACCAAGTTAGGACCTTAGTCTAGCCGGACCTCGCTCTTATGACTACACGCGGATAAACGCCAATGAATTTCAAATATTCATATCTGTCTGTCATTGATTACAAAGATCCTCTCCTCCTCCACTCCACTCCAAAAAAACCAATCGTGGCGCCCTCTTCCATCCGCGCACCTCCACCAAACTAAGGCAACGAACTACCAAAGTCTACGTAAAGGGGAGAACAGAAGGACAAAAAAGACACAAATGTTGACGCAAGGGGATGTGATAAGTGATAGGAAAAACCAGAGGAAGAAATATGAAAAGACATCCAACCGTGTAGTCGCAGCGGGGAATCTATGATCATGAACGGTGACGGTGCAAGGGAAATGAAGAAAAAAAGGTTCTGCGAGTTCAAATGGCTTGGAACAGGATTATGGGTTGGGAAACATGGGTTCAATGAGATGAGAACCATCAACGGGCGCTAATGGGAAGATACGTATCAAGCGAATATGGAAATAGGCGGCCGTCTTCTTTGCATCTTTGCGTACACGCAGGGAAGCTCAGAAGCGACGTGAAGAGAAATAGCGTCCGTACAATACATAATGGGAGGCAAGTGTGTCGACGGCGTAGCGAGTCGCAGATATATTCAAAATGCGAAGCGATCAAGGAATGCAAAGTGACTGCGACGTAGGGCATGAATGCGGGATGTCGGAATTGAACACGTCGCAATGAAAGATGTGAAAGCAAACCAACGCAAGTTGGCCTGGCGTGCCCCCACCGTGACGTTTCGACCTCGTAACCCGCGAGATGACCCAACCGGACTTGCAAAACCGCGACAGACCATCTATGACACCATATCCAACAGCGACCGAGCTACCTCTGCACCTTCCCTCCACCCCCATCCTCGGTCGCACTCGGGGCGTGCCCTGCACACGAAAACAAACCAAGAGGAAACAGGAAGCAATTACCAGGCATCGTCCCTACCACGAGCACGGGGTGGCACAGCAGTATTAGTTGCCTGCTGCTGACGCGTGTGAGAACGAAGCCTATAAAGAAAGTTAGGACCATGGCGAGGCAAAGAATTGAAAGAAATGTGACGGGCACCTACATCCTGTCGCTTGCACGGTGTTCTTCTTCCTCTTGAACGACCTTTCGCCTGCCAGTAGCGGCCTTCTGGCTGGTGCTGGCGCCATCATCTTGGGCGCCACGCTGGACAGACCAGTCGAAGACGTAGTCATACTGGAAGCCCTCACGAACGAAAAGGTCGCGGAAGAGCTTGCGGAGGTAAGAATAATCAGGCTTGTCATCAAAGCGAAGCGCGCGAGTGTAGTTCAAGAAAATGCCGAACTCGTTGGGGAAACCGCGGCAAAGGATATCGGTGGGAGTGGTCATCTTCTTCTCCATGATCCTGTCATACTTCTGCTTCTTAGTAGCAGCCTTGAGCCCCTGCCAAGGGAGGGCGCCACGCAAGAAGTACATGAGGACGTAGGCAAGAGACTCGAGGTCATCACGACGAGCTTGCTCGACTCCCAAATGGGTGTTGATGGAGGTGTAGCGAGCAGTACCGGTCAAGTTCTTGTTTTCCCTGTAGGGAATGTGCAAGTGGGTCTTTGGGTCACGGAATTTCTTCGCAAGACCAAAGTCAATGACATTGACTTGATTGCCACGCTTGCCTATGCCCATGAGAAAGTTGTCTGGCTTGATATCCCGGTGAATGAAGTTGCGTGAGTGGATATACTCGATACGGGATATCTGTGGCGATACAGTGGCGCGTCAGTTCTCGAAGACAGTGGCTGCGGTGGGATTTACTCACGAGTTGGTCTGCCAGAAGTAAGACAGTCTTCAAGGTGAATTTGCGGTTGCAGAAATTGAAAAGGTCCTCTAGAGAGGGACCAAGAAGGTCCAACACCATGGCATTGTAGTCACACTCTGTGCCGAACCAGCGTACGAAAGGAACGCCGACACCACCGGCGAGGGTCTTATAGACCTTTGACTCGTACTCGAGCTGGGGATGCTTGGCCTTCACTGACTCGAGCTTAATGGCAACTTCTTCGCCGGAGATGATGTTAATTCCGAGGTAGATATCGCCTGTTAAAATGAGTAAAAATGGGAGGATATAATAATATGGTGAGCTGACCGAAGGAACCCGAGCCGATCTTCTTGCCGAGTCTGTATTTCCCACCGACACGGAGGTCAAGTCGGTGTGCTGAACTGTCTGCCATTGTTCGTTACGAGGGTGTAAGATGGAATGGGAGCTGATGAAAAGAAAGTCGAGTGAGTATGGGGGTTTAATAGAGACTAGAGGAAATTGAAAAGCAGATTAAATAGCGAAGAAGGGCAGGTTATAGTGTGTTCCGGGTCGTGGCAATTACGGTTGTATCGGAGGTGGCTGACGTCGAAGTAGGAAGTGCGGGAAACACATGGAAGAGGTAATCGCTTATGAAAAGGAAAGAAAAGAATGGGCTCCGAGGGTTCTTGATGGCGATAGGGAGCGAGTCAAGCTATCCAGGCTTTTAACTTGAGCTGGTGTAATGTCAAGGCCAACGTGGTAGCCTCGAGGCCGCTCAATAAAACGCCCAACGACATGGAAATTTACTTGAAAAATAGTGAAACTAGACTACTCACTGGGCGGGTCTTGAGCTGGACTTTGAGAGTGATAGTTTGAGAGATAAGAACTGAACAGAGCTCGACGTAGGTGAACAAGGAGAGAAAACAAACAAGTATTGGGGAAGCTCGTGGGAACCGGAGTTTAAATTGGTCAGTACAACAGAGGTTCAGCTCGGCTGCCTACATACGTGACTTGTCAAGATCTTCGACGTCCATTGTAAAATATACCGTTACTCCACTGCCCTTGACCCCCAAGAGCCCTAAATTCGGTGAGCCACGCCTGGAATCATGCCGTACAGTGGTGTTATTGTATGCACGAAACAACGATCATTCAGGTTGCTGTGATATTATCTTTGTCTCTGAGGTGGTGCGAAGATGAGCTGATCCCATGAGTACGTTCATAAACCCGTTGCATCCCACGTTCTCCTTTTCTCGATGTTCTGTGTACTTGATCCATTTGATCACAATGTGACGAGAATGAGACTAAATCATATATACTATGTCTGTAATTAGCATAGCCATTCATTTTTTTCTCAGCAGAACCAGAACGCCGTCCTTGCCAGCGTGATACTTGCGAGCAACATGAAGCCAGGATCCAAGATCTGCCACGACCCTTGGATGGGCACAGGTGACCATCAGAGCATTTGATTGTACCTTGAAAGCGCGACAACAGCGGGTCCCAGGAGGTCCCAGGATGGCCTGCTCTCGTCGGAGGCGCCACCCGTTCGAGACCATTTCATATCATTCCGATAATGACAACCTCCGAAGATATAATACGCTAGACGAAGTAGTCCTGTAGTTAGATAAGTATAAGAAATCCCTCAGGCCTTATCGCTAGTGTTAATAGAACAAGTTACACCTTGCGGTACAATGTGGAGCGTAGCTTCCTTTTATGGCCACCATGTTATAATAACTTTGATTGTCGAGCGGACAACGGTTGAGACCTAGCGCTCATCTTATTTCTTCCTCCTGGTCCTAAACCCCATCGACAGTAACTTTTCGACAAAGTCCCTGTCTTCCGACTAGGATCCTCCAGTCATTCATTTTAGTCTCTAAATCCCTCTCTTTCAATTTCAACACTCGTTTTGTGCGACTAACAATCGAATTTGTTTAGCCACGTAGATTATCGCCTCTTCGCGTCCGCAAAATATTATAGCACAACATGGCATATCGCCAGCAAGATCCCTACTACGATTCTGCACACAGTACACCAATTAACCCAGGTTTTCCCCCTCCGGCGTCTACTATTCTCAACCAACAATACCCTGCTTATGATAACCAATGGGACGAGAGACCAGGGTCTGCCAAATCCGTCCAGAGTAGCCAATTCCATGGTTCTCAGGTGCACCTCAATCCCCAGTACGAGATGAGCCAGGTTCACATCCACACTCCCCCCGTCCCCTCAATGCCGTACCATGCATACCAGCCAGACTACCCTCCCGTCCCCGGACGCCCTGGCCCACTCAGAGAAATGAATACAGGATACTCTGTAGCCAGGGAGAAACTCATGAAACGTCGCTCTGTCCGCCATGTCGAGCTTCAGAACGGTAATTTGGTTCTCGATGTTGCAGTCCCTACCCATATCGTGCCAAAGGGTATGAGCAGCGCTGAGGAAATGACCAAAATGCGATACACCGCCGCTACATGCGATCCCGACGAATTCATGCGCAGGAAATATTCCCTCAGGCCGTATCTCTACAGTCGCCATACTGAGCTTTTCATCGTTATGACCATGTATAATGAAGACGAAGTTCTTTTTGTAAAGACTATGAATGCGTAAGTTCCGTTCACGGACATTGAGACACGTGGCTAATATATTTTCAGCGTTATCAAGAATATTGCCCACCTCTGTGGTCGGACGAGATCGAGAACATGGGGCCCTGAGGGGTGGAAGAAGGTCGTTGTATGTGTCGTCTCAGATGGGCGCAGCAAAGTCAACAAGCGGACGCTTCAAGTTCTCACTCTTGTAAATTTACCCGTTATCAGTTGGGTTTGTTGCTTATAAGCTGTATCTAGATGGGTTGTTACCAAGAGGGTATCGCAAAGGACTCAGTGGCAGGAAAGGATGTGACCGCTCACATCTTCGAGTGAGTAGATTGAGTGGAAAGGTATACCTCAGTTTAATTCGTGACCTGCAGATATACTTCAAATGTAGTCGTTACGGAGACTGGGGAGGTGTCTACTGGGAACTGCCCAGTTCAGATCATCTTCTGCTTGAAAGAGCAGAACAAGAAGAAGCTCAACAGCCACCGCTGGTTCTTTAATGCTTTCGGTCCATTGATCAATCCAAATGGTAGACACGTTCTCCCACGAGGGGTTCATAATACTGACTCCATACATAGTCTGTGTTCTCCTGGACGTTGGTACCAAGCCCACCAGCACGTCAATCTACGAGTTGTGGAAATGTGAGTGGATATCGTTCGCTCGAGATTTCGGCTGATGATACTCTCTAGGCTTCGATAAACATTCTAATGTTGGAGGAGCCTGTGGAGAGTGCGTCAAACTCATCGTCCCGTACTTCGTTTCATTAAATTCTTCTGTCAAGGATTTGTGTTGACACCGGCAGAGCTTGTTCACTGCTCCTGACGAGTCCTCTAGCTGCTTCTCAGAACTTCGAGGTAATTCGGTTGCAACTCTGGTTTCACACGTCGATTTTGATATGGTATGACAGTATAAAATGTCTAATATCCTCGACAAACCTCTCGAGGTAGGTGGTCCATTTTTGGCTCCATGATCAATATCCTGATTTGCCAAAAGAGTGTATTCGGTTATATTAGCGTGCTTCCTGGTGCATTCAGCGCCTACAGATACAGGGCCCTCCTGAACGGTCCTGATGGCAAAGGTCCCCTTGCCTCGTATTTCAAGGGAGAGGCTATGCATGGAGGGGGTAGTGACGGTGCTGGGCTCTTTGGTATGTGACATGCTTCCTCCAATTTCTTGTCCCATCAATGATTGTTGCAGAGCGAAACATGTACTTGGCCGAGGATCGTATTCTGTGCTTCGAAATTGTCACCAAGAAACGGGAAGCCTGGATGTAAGTTAAATATTACCTTCAACACTACACGGCTTTCAACGCGCTCGACAGTCTCAGATACGTCAAGAGTGCCAAGGCTGCTACTGATGTCCCCACAACTGTGAGTAGAGATTGCCATTGTGATATGTGTTTTTACATATTTCCCCAGGTTCCCGAATTCATCTCTCAGCGTCGTCGATGGTTGAACGGGTCCCTCTTCGCTTCTTTCCATTCGACGATCTTCTTCTATAGGATCTGGACATCTGGGCAAAATCCCATTCGTATGCTTGTACTCCAGGTTCGTACGCGCGGATTCATCAGTACTGCATTACTAAAAAAGCTCATGTAGATCGAGTTCATTTACAATGCAGTCCAGCTCATATTCACGTGGACGTCACTGGCGAACTTTTTCCTGGCTTTCTTCTTTGTCAGTAGTTCCTTGCCCTCTTACGTTGACGAGTCTGATGTAAGTTATTGTAGTTGGTTTCATCGGCAACTACGACTACAGATGGTGCCTTCAACTTCCTGAGCCAAGGGGCGGGACAAGATGTTTTCCAGATTTTCCTGAAGGTAATGAACAAGTCCTTTCTAAATGGGAAAGGGTCTAAAGTGTCATTCTAGCTCTACATCGCCATCCTGTTTGTCGTCATCGTCTGTTCGCTAGGAAACCGACCACAGGTACGTACCTCGACCCATGACATACAATTTGCAAAGGTTAACTCCATTCTTGCCAGGGCTCCAAATGGATCTATTCGCTCTGCATGGTACTTTTCGGTATTTGTAATGTTATCACACTTTGGTGCGCCGGATGGACGGTGTACCTTGCTGTACCCCATTCCGTCGCTGGATGGAAGGACTTCCCTCAGTGAGCATTTTAGTGGCCTAAGTTACATATTGATGCGATGGTTTATCGTTTCTGACTAGTCTCGTCGCTACGAACCAAGCCTTCCGGGAGATCGTCATCTCGCTCGCTGCTACGTATGGCTTGTACTTCTTCTCGTCGTTCATGCACTTGGAGCCATGGCACATGTTCACTTCGTTCATCCAATACATGTTCCTGCTCCCGAGTTGTGAGTATTTGTGTTTTTTGTCTTGGTAATCCCAATGCTGATGCTATCATCGTAGATGTTAATATTCTGAGTATGGGCAGTTTTCATTGCGTACGGAGATAGTATTAATTTTGGTTGACAGTGATGTATGCCATGTGTAACTTGCACGATGTCACTTGGTAAGAGCGGCCCCACTGGTCCCTTACCTCTAACCTGACGATATGTCCAGGGGAACCAAGGGAGACAATGGCTCTACGAAGGATCTCGGCGGGGCCAAGAAGGTCAAAGGCCAGAATGGCAAGGACATGATGGAAGTCGAGATCCCCACCGCCCGTGAAGACGTTGACCGCATGTGGGCAGCTTCCCGCTCAGCACTCAAGGTCAAAGCTCCAGAAGAAAAATCTCACCGTGATGCTGCTACAAAGCAAGCCGACCATGACCGGAACAGCCGTACTAATGTTGTACTTGCGTGGGTGGGGACGAACATGTGGGTCGATCTGCGTATTTTTTTTGTTTGAGTTTTATTGATGAGGTAACTTAAATTATAGGCTGATGGTTGTGGCATTCACTTCGCAAGCGTTCTTGAATTGGGTGAACACCCATATTGCGACATCCCAGGGCTCGAATTTCAATCCTTATTTGAGTTTCCTGTTTATCGCGCTGTAAGTATACACATTCATTGATACAGAGTCATCCTTGCTGACCCCAACACAGTGCTGCCCTATCAGGAGTCCGATTCATAGGATCCCTACTCTATCTCATCTTCCGATTATTCGGACACTGAGATATTTCTTGAATACCCATAGAATGTACTTTTCTCAAGAGTCGATCTCTTCTTCGGCGCCATTCCTTTTGGCAGTAACCTTTTAGTCATGGTCCTTTGTTGATGGCTGTAATTTTGTGTGTGTAATTTTATTACTTGATCAGTCAAAGTTTCTTCATGATTTTGTCCCGGACCTTGGGCCGTGCTGTGCTGTAGTTTCATGGTCACGAGGAGATGTGGCGCAGGGCGATATCAAGATATACACTTATGCATATGTCGGGTGTTGAATATACTCTACCTACAAAGAGACAGTGGGTGGCTCCGCCATATATGCACGCTCATCACCGTTCACTAATCTGTGAACAGACAGCCATGATTTATCTTTAGTAAGCGCCCATGCACAGCTATTGCGTCTGCTCGACGGAACAGGTTATTGACTGAATTACATCCGTATTCGATAACCATGCTATCTCCTACTATCCCCGTGCGAGTCGTATCATTGCACAGTGCTCTCAGGAACCTTTTTCCTCCGGTCGTTCGCTCTCATCGGTCGACCATAATTTCCCGCCGATCCCGGATCCCCGGTATCAAATTTGCCAAACTATACGCTTGCTCCATGCCTTGCTGCGATGAAACATTATCTCGCCAAGTATCTCCTGCAGTGCTTATCACCGATTGATAAACATCAAGAAGCTCACCTTGCATTTTGATTGCCTGTCAACTTCAATCGGTGAAGCAGCGCTTTTTTGTTTCCCGAGGGGCCTGGTTTGCAATTCTGTCATCGGCACCTGTGCAAGATGATAACTAGGATCATTTGATGATCCCCTGGCTGTAGACCAGTGACCAACGATCGTGACGAGTACCACTGATGTAAGAAAGATCCGATTTCCGCTGTGTTTTAAGTATAGTGTTTCTGGACTCTGGACTGGTTTCACGGTAGACAGGGGGATATGTATATAACAGTGCATGGATGATTTTTGGGGCCGCCTTCATAGCGCCGACGACGCGATCCCCCAACCTAAAGTAATTTTACAGGTGAGTGTTGGATGTATATATTGGTAATATCGTGATGATCGCTAAAGTCTGGAGGGTAGATCAACATGGAAGCTGAGCTATCCATACTGTTTAACGATATTCGCATCCTTCAGATGGGGAGGATGTTTCAATGTGAGTATTGGTCTTGGGTCGTACGAGTCGACACCCGGGAGCTAAACCCCTCATTGCTAGTGGCAGCAACATTCGTTGTCTTGTATGATCATGGTAAGTTTCTCTCACAATACCTGAAAGTATTCTATCTGATAAACCTCAACGTAGTGCTCTGTGCTCAGAGAGAGGTAAGTTTAATTGGTCCTCGGCTGAGAATAGTTAATTCACATATCTACGAATAGGTGGACTTGATTTGGGTATGTCTTCTTGGTGGCTTGTAGAAGTCTCACATCAGTGAATGTGAACCTCCAGAAAAGACCAAAGTCTCTTGTGTCATACCTTTACTTTACGGTCAGTGATGCTATAGCCTGCTGATTGACCAGACGTCTGATGCCGCGACTCTCGTAGACCCGCTACTTTGGGGATGCTATCTCAATGTAAGCGAGATATCATGTACAAAAAGACAACATACTCATCTTTCTTCCAGAATTAGTGCAATATGTTCGGCTTATCTTTTCGGTCTTGATTTGTGTTGCTGACGACCGTACGATAGTATTTATGAGCTCGACATTTTCAGTCAATGTAAGACAAGCGAAACTGTCCTGCAATATATGATACTAACAAGTTCCCGTTAGACGTAAGTTCGCGCGAACCAGCTTACATGTCCAACCTATATTCACTTGCTAATCAACGACATTCTTTGCATCAGCTGTGTGTAGTCTTCTGCAGACACTCTTCTTTCAAAGTTGATATCATTCACAGGTCGTATTCTATTTCAGTTCCAATCCTACGGGCCTTTTGTGTCAGTATGGGCCACACAAAGTACACAGTTTCGTCCATATCCGCAGAAAAATACTGAAGCATCACTAGCGATCATGCAACTGCGCATTTATGCTATGTATCGCAAGTCCAAGAAGATTCTGGGGTTCACAGGAATCTGCTTTATCCTCGAAATCGCAGCCATTTGTACGGTCCTGGCGCTAAATTTTGACCACTCCTTAACATATACCAATGAACCCATACCTGGGTTTCTTAACATGTGCGCAACGTCGACTATCGATAGAAGCTTCACGGCCATCTACGTGCCTATCTTTTGTTTCGAGCTTCTCCTTTTTGCCCTTGCCATATCCGTTGTATTCAAGCACATGAAGAACACCCGTACAATTTCTGGGAAAAGGGTTCACAACACGATGGCGACACTGGTCAAGTACAACACGATCTACTTCTTTGTGTAAGTGTTATCATATCATCTTTTTCGTTGTCGATCCAACTCTCTTATGCTTATTAGCGAAATGGCCGGATGTGGTATCGCCACAGCGTTGTATCTTGGTCTTCCAGTAATGTGGTTCTTGACGATTCACCCTTCAGGTCACTTAAAAGCTTTTACATTTAGGCAATTTACTTGGAGATCACGAATTCGGCCCTTATTGCAACTACGATCATCCTTGGGACCCGGCTCGTGCTTGGCACGCGTAATTTCTATTCTGACCCATCCGCGGAAGACGATTCAAACATGAGCCATGGGACCACTGGTTTGAGCCCTAGCTTCATCCAACCTTCATTACCTGGATCATTCTCCAATCATATCGAGATGTCGATGACCAGTACCAAGGGATATTATCTGGATACAAGTGATAACGCTGTATAAAGAGCGTGTTGTTTTGAACCCTAATGCTCGTGCCATTCATGCGCGTCTGCAGACTCGCCCCATTCAACATAGAGCAATTATTTCAACAATGTATCAATACGCCATGATCAACTACCGTTTACGTTTACTTACAACAAGTGTTAATACACAAAGAGCATTTTCCTCCCCGTCCGATCCCCAGTGTTTACTGTCTTCTTTTGTTGGTAGTTCTCATCTCAAAGCCACCATCACTTACAAGACATATTTCAATACCGTCACCTCCGCGCCGCTAGTGCGTGAGAAGCTGGTCCGCTGAATCATGAACAGCTGGGATGTGCACTGTGAACACCAATCGTTGCTCCTGGGAGAGGGTTCACCTCGACTGTTTCACCGAACTTTGCCTGAGTGATGAGTTCCTCGTCAACCATGGCCACCAGCAGCTCTCGCAACCAAACTATGCAGTTGTTAGTGATCGTGGTCGTCTGAAATTCGATCTGAGAGGCAAGGAGGAGAATCTGGTCTCTCTGCACGAACAATGTTCCCACAGGAATGACCTGATTTCGAATAGTGGTGTCCATGCACGTCACGACAGGCGCATAGTCATTGTAGTTGCCAGCTCGACCCGTCAGCTGCATAATTTGAGCCACTGGTACATCGTCTTTCGTACCGTTCAACTATCGGAGAAGAACATGACGGTCGGAATGTATCTCGAATCCTGCAGTATGTAGCGTGACTTCTTTGACAGGGTCATCATCGCAGTATTCAGCATGAACGCTGCTGAGGAAGCGAGGAGGAGCTGACATTTCTGCAACAGAACATAAGTGAGTGAATAGCACCAGATCGCACAAATTATACCTGAGACCTGATCATTTTGATCTGTTGTAAATAAAGCGATAGTTACGTCTAACTTCTCCTCGCTTTTCTTGCAGGCACTTTTATATCCTGCCAATGTGTGTGGCCAAAGTCAATGATATCTGGGAGTTCAACGTCCAACTCCGAACGTATACGTGCTCCTTTCCCCGATCATGTTGTGCCTCTCTCAAGTGTCGATGAGTCTATGATTCAGCTGGACCGCACTGGCATTGCCTCAGGGAAATGTAAAGGTTTGCTTACAGCTCAAAGCAGACCTCAACACAGTCACGGGTCCAATCCGTCATTCCAGCACAACCTAGAAGGAACGACCATCTCCTTCGTCTATCATGATAAAGGGCTGTCTATAGGAGACCAAGGGCAGCCTGGCAGTGCCAGGCGATGCTAATCGACACGTTTCCACCGATTGACTGAGTTATTGGTCGTTTGGCAAACTCCTTTGTGGTGGCAGTTTGATGTTGGGAGTAAAGACCTGGTCAAGATCATTGATAGTAGTGAGGGGGAGCATCGTCAGACTGGCGGAAGCTTTCAATTCGAAGACTGAAAATCTAGATCACGGTGTTCATTGAGTGATGCGCATCACGGCCAAATATAACCTTGAACGTTCGAACCTCGAAACACATCACAGTGACATAAGATCATCATACGAACTCTACACGGCCACACGCAAGCCTGGGTCCCAAGGTTCAAGGTATCCCAGCTCAATTGGCGATCCAGCAGTTGATCCAGCACAATGTCAAAACTTATCCTAGTGGCAGGCGCTACAGGCAAACAAGGCCGAGCTCTCATCGAGGCTCTTCAACCCACCTCGGACTCGGATGATATACCCTTTCGAGTGCTGGCTCTCACTAGGTCAGCTTCTAGTCCGAGTGCACAGCGCTTGGTCCAGGAAAGACACGTACAAGTAGTCGAGGGAGACCTCGACTCACCAGAGTCCATGCGGAAAGTCTACGAAGATGCAAAAGGTTTGGGTGGAATCTGGGGTGTCTTCTGCGTTCTGGCGTTCCCCGGGCTTGGTGCGAATGCAGACGGGGAGGAGCGACAGGGAAAGGTGCAATTGTTTCAGATGTTTTATTGCATGAGCACACTTATACTGGAATACAACAGTTTATGGCGGATCTAGCGCTCGAATATGGGGTGTCAGTATATATTTACTCGACCGCCGAACGTGGTGGCGAACAGAGCGATGAGATGGAGAAACTGTCGGGTCGTGCCAAAGTACTTGCAGAGCGGCATGTACAGGCCCTCGGTGAGAGGGGTCTCCCATGGACGTGAGCCTTTCAATTTGAGATTGGACCTAACTAACTTTGATGTTTCAGGATATTGCGCCCAGGATTCTTCCTAGATAATTACAACGACTTCACTGGTTCTATTGCCGTGGCTGTAATGACTCGTGGACTTAAAGAGGACACAAAACTCGGGGTGATTGTGAGTCCATCCTGCATATGTTTATATCCTGCTCTAAACTCCGCCAAGGACCCGAAAGATATTGGTCATGTTGCAGCTGCCGTGTTCAAGGTAAAGCATTTTAAACGGGAGAAGCGTCAACAGCAGCTGACAGTTCAATGGAAGAACCCTGAGAAATACAAACACCAGATACTCGTGGTTATTGGGGATGTGCTCACCATGTCTGAGCAACATGCATCCTACAAACGCGCAACAGGTCGAACCCTTCCTTCCATTCCTGGATTTTTAGCTACTATCCTTTTAGCGTTGAATAAATCAACGCAAGAATTGTGAGTTCGCAGCCGTTCCCCCTTTTGACGTTAACTTTAATGTGATTCAGGGTTCGACATTTTGAAAATATCCATACGGCACGAACAACCGGGCAACATGAGCATTTCGAATCACAACTCAAGTTAGGCCGCGAAGCCTATCCTCAAATGAAGACCGTCTACGACTGGGCTGTCGAGCAACAAAAAGGACAGCGAGAAAATGCAGCAGATTGGAACAAGGTATCGTTGTGGCGGCTCATGCTAGGAAAATCGTAACACATCGTTGCAAACACGTCAAGTACTCATACACCTTCATGCATCATGCTTCAGGATAGTGCGATACCTCCTCTACTACATCCTACTCACTTACGATCGCTTCTATGTCTTCCCGTTAAAGTAGCGTTTGGAGCGATTGGAAAATTGACAGCCAACCAGAGCAAATATTAAAAGTTATTTGGAAAACCCAAAGCACTAACTGAACGAGTGCTCGCGGATATTGTGTAGGGAGAACTTGGGAAGAACAAAACGCAAGTTCGCAAAGAATAATGCAGCACATAGCAAAGGCTCGTGCACGCATATCCGAGATTGACGCTCTCTGCCATTGGGACGCCTGCCATGGTCAGCCGGACCTCTTAGTTGGAGATATGAGTGTCAATTGCATACAACAGGTACAAATGCTGCAGAGCGTTACTGTATCAATAGTAGGGATCCACGAATAAACTCTATGAACAACCACAAGACAAGGCTTCTTGCTTGAGGCGTTACACCAAAAACCAAATATACATCAGATGAAAAGGGTATCGGGTATATGAATTCCGAACTCGAGCAGGTCCATCCACACAACTTGAAGATCATACAACACCCCACACGGCATCGTCCTGGTTATCGCTGTGGTTTCGTACCAAGTGAATGAGCTGCGAATGGAAGTGAACATGGACCCTTAAGTAGATTAAAGAATATACACACGGCGGTGCGGTAAGTCAGAATCATTCGACTCCGACTTCCAGAACAACTCTTACAGGTTACTCGAATTGGACAAGATTCCATATCATCCACCGAAGTAGATTTCGGGTCTCGCCCGAGAGCTCGGAAGAGATTATGTATTCGCTTGGTATATCCGTCTGCTTCCAGAACAGTGCAATTCCATGGGTGCATCTCGAAGGCCTCGATTGCTGCTTTCTCGTAAACTTCTACTGGCGACATTGTTCTACCGAGCGCCGTTGTTTCCATTGGAAGTTGGACCCAGGGTTTGTCAAATATTTTAGCACGTAAGCAAGGGTGGGTGAGTGCTGATGGATAAGTGACATGTAATCGACAATTGGAGCAGCGGAACACCAAAGCAGCGAGTTTGAGAGGGTCGATGTCATTATCGATGCACAGCTGCACGCGAACTAGATCTGCAAGCTGCTTAGTGGCCTGGCAGTTCCAGGCTAACAACAAGGGAGGTAGACGAAGGGTAAGTGCGTCTACAAAGGCTTCCGCTGACATAACTCCAGAGTTTTTGTCATCTATCATGTATCGAACTTCTGAGAGTAGACAAATGTCTATCGCTTGAGGCAAGACCTTGTTGGTCTTATCATTTTTGAATGTCTTGGCCATATTGCTTACAACCACGGCAAGATTTTTGAAGCGGTCTTGGAAGAGGACAGTAAGCCTTCGAGCTCTTCTGATTTCCAAAAAATTCTGAAGCCTCGGTAGAGAAACCCGACATGCTTTGGAAATGTGAGACTCGGTACAGAGATCAGGGGTACGTTGCACACGTACAAGAATCAGTCAACTCTTGGTCTTGCCTGACGACGAGGTTGTCGAATTCCTTTAATACCGAGGCGTCGGACCGCAGTGATTCAAGCTCATTTCCCAATCCGAGGCTCTCGAGTTTTCCAACGACGCTGAAAACGAGTAAGTTTGTTGCTATATACCTTTAGTTAAGATTACATACTCTCTTCTCCTCTGGTCTACCAGCTCTTTGCGGCGCCGGTCAGCCACTTCGGCCTCCCAGATACGACACAAAGCTACGTGCTAAGAGTGCATCGATAATAAATTCGGAAGATTATCGGGAATATTATACGATACCTGGTAAATTTCCTGGGTGGCTTTCTTGCGATGAATTATTAGGTCGTTCAACAATGGGCTATCCTTCACAAATTTGTACTGCATGTTAAGTTTGTTGACATCAGCGTGCGAAGCCACAGCGAGTGGCTTTCCGTAGGTATTATCTGTGTGTCTACCGTAAGGCCCAGCAGAACTCATGACCGACATGGGTATGATCTGCCTTGCATCGAGGAAGTTCAACTGGTCAACAAACGAAGGAAGCATTTCTCGACCGACGACCCTATAAATCATTAGAAGCATAGATAACGCGAGCTTTACAAATGCCTACATGTCACTTGTGCAACCATCACAGCAACGAATGCGCAACTCCCATTGAATTACATCGCACGACGAGTGGCACCGCTGGAAGTGACATAAGTTATCCGAACATTTATCGAGAAAGGACTGGACATACATGGCAGAACGGCCAGAACAACAGGTTTGCATACGCGGGTTCGGAAAGGTACGATGGGCACTGAGGTAGCCGATTGATACGTTTCAAGGCTTCTGTCCATATTGACTTTGCCTTGCGACGACTAAGCAGAAACGAACGAAACGACTTGGATACCCGGGCAAGATATACAAGGTCTAGAGGATGAAGATACCAAAGAATCTAGCAGGACAAGAGGGTGAACAAGCTTAGAACACTGGTAATACCCCACTCGAGCGATCCGTACCTCGAAAAGCACATCGAGAGGGAGCCCAGAAACCACTGATTTGCCCATCATTGTGATTGCAAAAGTGGTTGACACGCTTTTTAACGCGTCAACCTGGCCAAGCTCAAGTAGGTCACATTCTGGTGTAGCCGGTGTAGAAAATACAACATTGACCGCTACACGGCCCGTATTACGCATCAGCTTTATGTAATCACGTAAGCACGGATAAATCTTACACCTTCTTACACTCGTCGGAACCGGTTTGTTCGCCATGGTTGTCCAAGAAACACCTGTGTCGCGACGACTAAAGACAGTCAAACATATTATCATAGTGTGCTCGGGCAAAGGCGGTGTTGGAAAATCCTCCGTGTCCGCCCAGCTTGCGCTCAGCCTCCATGCATCTTCCCCCAGTGCTCGGGTCGGGGTTCTCGATGTCGATCTTACCGGTCCGTCAATACCACGAATGCTTGGTCTAGATGGACATGGTGTGCACCAGAGCAGCGATGGATGGGTGCCTGTGTACGCAGATGCGCTTGGAGATGGTGAACCCAGACTTGCGTGCATGAGCGTTGGATTTTTATTGAAGAATAAGAGGGATTCGGTAGTTTGGAGAGGGCCGAAGAAGAACGCTATGATCAGGCAATTTCTGAGCGATGTCAGGTGGGGAGAGCTTGATTACCTCGTCGTGGATACGCCTCCAGGTTAGATATCTCATGGTGTGATGAGAGCGTCTCGAGCTGATATTAATATGTAGGAACATCTGATGAGCACTTGTCGCTGATCGAACATCTTGCACCAGTGCAATCACGACTGTCTGCCGTCATTGTCACAACACCGCAGGCTGTTGCACTACTGGATGCCATGAAATGTCTCTCGTTTACTCGGGCTGTCGCACTTCCTGTTCTTGGACTTATCGAGAACATGAGTGGATACGTATGCCCTTGCTGCGGAGATGTTAGCAATGTGTTCTCTACAGGTGGAGGTGCAGAAATGGCTAGACGAGAAGGGGTGCCGTTCCTTGGTAGCATGCCTATCGACACGGAGCTTGTCACATTGTTGGATGCTGCCGAGTCCACAGATCTAAGCGCTGCTGACGGACAACGCGATGAAGCTAGCGAAGTTCGCTCATTTGGAGTTTTACAACGGTATCAGAAGACATCGTCCGCGAAACTTCTGAGTGTCATTGTCGAGAACCTCATATCGACGCTGCCATCAGTAGAGCACGTGTCAGTGAGCAGCTCTACTTAAGTAGTCTCAAGGGTAAGTCATTAAACCATGTCCGCCACTTCTTACACATCCTATGCAGGCACACACAAAGTTGTATCGATACATGTACCATTGATGATGTATCCTTAAAACGTATCCCGATGGATCGCAGGACATTTTGAGCGTACTGACGCGGCCTTCAGCTCGGAGGAAGCTTTCATTGAAATTCGAGTCTATCCAGATAAGTATCTGATCAGAGAAGCGTCAACAGCGAAGCATACTTATCGAACCATACCAGCATATCAAGCTGTCTCTAATTATTCTGTTATCTGACTTAGGAGGGCATCAGACCACATGATATTGCAACTTCTGAAAGTCCTTCACACGACGGGCTATTTGGAGGGACTTGTAATAACCCCACAGGCTATTTTAACTCGCACTGCACTAGCAAATCAATTGCTTGGCTCTTCGATCTCCAGAGCTTGGCAGCTATATCTATCTATATCGATACACCAAAAGTAAGTTAAAGGCTCGTCGCGATCCTGCTCGGTTCATTTCGAGCTAAAGCGAAAAGGCAAAATACAGAAGTACTAGTAGACTATAAGTACGTACTACCAGTTATATGATATCGTCAGAACCTCCGTCATCGTAAATTAGAACATGACTCGAACTTGAAATTTGAACATTTGAAGTGATACCGATGTATTTACCAAGAATCTCCGACACAGCAGTGACCTGGCCATAATTGGCCGTGTGCAGGGCTTCACCTCTCCTACATGCGAATGTCGAAGATCAACCCTGCAAGTCCATCAACTTCGGTATGTTTTTGTGGACTGAACTACATATACTCCACGAAACTGGCTGGAAGAAGGTTCAGTAGATGAGTCTCGTAAGATTTGCCACGTTTCAGTTGAACAAGCCGGATATGAATGTGAGCATGTTCGAGTTTTGGCATCGGGCCTCGCGTTTTATTCCTTGCTTTTGTTCTATGAGTCCAGCCATCTGATACCCATCCCTCGCCCTCTGACTTGGCAGATTCATTCTCGAGGCGTCTTTAAAATTTTACGTCTAACTTGCTCATCCTAACGATCTCTGTATTTTTTTTACCTCCGCGGCCTGATTCATTGTATCCACGGTCTAAGCTCAATGCATGATCGTCAACCGTCTTTCGGCTCCGTATCGACTCCCGCTCCCTTACTTACATCTGCTTTAGCCTATGATACCGCTCAACCCGCACGGCCAGGACCGCTTACCGACTCAAGTATGTAAATTTTGCAACATATAACACGACGCGTGCCCCCCTTGTTGAGTCATACCCACGACCTTTTCCCCTCCAGGCAATCTGTCCGAGAAGAGACCTGATTCCCAATCATCAGGCATGACCATCCGCAGGATGAGCGCGTCCGTTCGCGCCAATGTTGGGGATGATGATATTTTTACGACCCAGCATCAAACCCGAACCCTTCGTCGCCGTTCAAGTCGCCTGTCAAAATGGTTGGAGGAGTTACGGGTTGATTCCCCCACCGTTCAGCAATCGGGTAACCTCAATATTTCTACTAATGTGGAAACCGTTGGAACTGAGTGTAATCCTTACTTGGCGTATCCTCACCTCAGCTTGGCAACTGTTCGTAGAAGCATGGATGATGCCACTAGTATGCACGATTATGTCGTAGTCGATGATGGCGACGTGCAAGAATACAGTCTTCCTGAGGAGCCCACGGATGTAAAGGTGCGTCATCTATGACACGTGTTAGATAGCTCGTCTCATATATCAAAGGGATCACATGGCCAATCAGCGCTTGCAGATACTGCTGGTACAGGTCATCAGTCAACTACATGGCTTAATACTCCCCCATCTCGACACCAATTCCGTCTATCAATTAGATCCCCTTCACCTGCCGCATCATCGGTATCTCGCAGTCCATCACGTCTGTCAATGTTTCAACGCTCCTCCCGTGCCACTTCGAATTCGGAGGCGAGCAATCCTTACAACCACAGTCGCTCCTCCAGCTTTCACACGTCACATCTTGTGGCTGAAGCTCGATCGGAGGAACGTTGTACACATTCGAGCCCCTCATCGTGGCGGTGGCGACCGAGTGTACTGGGGCATTTCGTGTCCCTCTCTGACGGTGATACACGTTCAAGTACCCGCGACTCCCCTGGTAGTTCTTCCCGCCCCAGCATGTCCTCAACCACCACAAGTTCCTCGTACGTAACCCCATCCACCAATGTGATATATGATAGTGGAGCATTGCTTGTACCCCCTTCGACGCCTCAAAAGTCACACTTCTTTGGATCTTTGAGGTCGCGTTCCCAAAAGGCTGTAACCTCTTCACTGTCGCTTTTCACCACTGAAACAAGTTCCTCGTTTCCGACGTCATTCTCGTTACCGGCATCTGAACCGCAGCTCTCCCAGCCGCCAGGCTTTCCAAGCTCCTTGGCGCGGAAGTCGAGTACAATTCGATTACCCTTCTCACCAAAGTCGAAGGCCCCGGATAGTGCCCTTCCCAATATATTTGTGGAAGCATCAGACGCTACACGACCGCGCATCGTGTACACCGGCAAAGGCCACGCTCCCAGAGTCTCTTTATCTTCGATCGCTAGTCAGTCACGAAGCACTAAGAAGAAGTTGGTCATCGGTGGCATCGCGCCGAATGACGTTAAACGTCTTGAGGCTGTTCAAAAGTGGTGTCAGGTCTGACTCACATCCTTGGCTTCGGTTCCTTGTTGCTGACTCTTGCTCTATCATTAGTCATTTGGCGAAGTGGATCAAATCACGAGGATGCCTAATGGCGATCTCCATGTGAACTTCCACAAGGCTGAAGTTGCAGATACTGTAAATAGCTTCCACAGTCGTGCCTACCGTTGGAGAAGCTAACACAGTTATCTTTACTAGGTGTGTCGTGTGCGCGCCAAAGTCTACATCTCGGGTGTAGGTAGCGTACATCTCTCTTGGTATTCTGGAAATAAACGACCATAGCATCCGTCACCATTCTCGTTTGTTTGTAAAAGGTAAGAGTAGACGTGGATTGCCATCATGTCCGTAACTGAACTGGGTACCTTCAGTGTACAACGCTGGAATTACGTTCTACACCCGCCTAATTCGATAACTATCATTTCCCCGAGGCCTCCGGTCACTAATTTCACTGACGACTTGTATCGATTCCACGACTATATATGCGTGCGTACATGTTGCCCGTTCTGTCCATGTTGACATCATGCTGACACCGCCATGCACACAGACGAGCATTCATGACCCCATTTTGAGCATTTCATCCTATCTATCATCTTCATACCCTAGTATCTCAGCCTCATTAATGACATCTACTACGCATTCCTTCGTTTATATCCCTTTGCTCACGATACATACCTTCCACATCGTCAAGATGACCCTTCACGAACTAGTTGCTTGGACAATACGTTGGACGTAGTAGGTACTCATACTTAACGATATTTCTTCCGCTGTCAGCGATATCGTGTTCTGTTTAGCCTTTCGTAGGTTGACTGAATAGAAGGAAGGCCATTATTTAAAAGTGTTCGCCCTCCATTTCGACTCTTGTTGCGCAGTACAGGGACATACATGGACTATTTTGTTCGTTCATAGGCGGCGTTCGATTTGACCGTGACTTTGGTATTTCTCGAGCGACTTAGGTGAGACTCGGTTAGTTGGATTGGTATCAAGGGCTGAGAACTCAGAGTCAGGTACAACTTGGACTCGGATACAGTCGTACCATTAAATTCGTTCAAGTTATGATGACAGGGCCACCTGGCCATCGGAGATTCTTACAGATCTGAGTCTTCCCTGTGTCGAATGCCAGCGTTCAATCCCAGCGAATATTAGAATCTCTTAATTACCAGGTATAGTGGTGGGAACTGCTAGTACGAGTGTCAGGTGAGGTATCATCGACATAACCTTCTCATTACACTACATCCAACAGTGCGAACAGGGCATCGCAGAGCGTATCCCAATTACTGTGCAAACTGGTCATAACCATTCTCGTGGATTATATATGTCTGAGGTCCTCGTATGTCTCTATCCGATAACAAAATAACACGCCGCAGCTTGATCTATGAGAGGGTCTGTCCGGTAAGGTCTTAGAGGGCTTGTCCGTGGTAATGACTCGGACAAAGAACCACTCTCTTAGCGCGCTCAAATTAGGTGCTATTAGATCGAGTAATGCTTTGAATTACGCAGGGGGTCACGGTGTTTCGTCCACAATATGAAAATCTAAAACGCCGCGGAAGTGATCCTGTGCACTTTATCATTCACAGTAGGCCTGACCTGGATATAAATATTCAGCTATTCTCCACTTCGGCGATTGTAAGATGCTCTTCAACTCAGCTACACCGCTATACCCCCGAGCCACGTCAGCGAATGGCAACAGCATTGAGATGCGAACGCACAGCGCAAAGAAATTCGTCGTTCTACACCTGACAGCTTAAGTGTCGGTACGTCATTCGTTCAATTCCTTTCTTTCTTTCTTCATTCACTCACTCATTTATACGTCACCACTCAGTGCATAACATGAGTGATTTCCACGGCGTCGACGAATAGAAATACAGGTGCGGTGCATGTTTTATTTGGGTTTAGGTGTACCCCAGTTATTGTGCTGAAGTGTTTGCGAAGCTAGGACAGAGTCTAGGTACATATTAGCAAGAGTAAGTACAAGTGGTGCATACTTCAGTTAGGGTATAGCACGGGTATAGGCCACATCGGGGGTATGGGGGACACGGGTATGGCGGGTACAGGTACGGGTATGGTGTTGATGGTATACCCGTGCTATACCCTAACCTCAGGAGGCAGAACTGATGGGTGACAACATTAAGTATCAAATGTCAAGAATCTACCGGTGACTGTGACGCCGGTAGCGACGGCGTGTGGTGTCAAGGTTTAAAAGAAGAAAAGAAGAAGTCCCGGAGGCTAATCCTCCTGGACTGGACGTATTCTGCAGCGTCGGTCAAAATAGCTCACGTCGAGATCAGGATCGGTACAAACGTGCATTGATTCGAACGATCAGCAAGTGGAATGTCTTGACGGTCACTGTTTCACATACATCAATTACTTGTTCCTTGGTATTTTTGCTCGAGCGCCTTAGGTGAGGCTGGACAATTAGATTGGTATCACGTACTGAGAGTTTAGTCACAGTTGAACATCTGCCTCATCTTCGGGGATACATGCCCTTATAGACACGACTTCCATCATGCTTCCCTGTCACCTGAGCGTCATGAGGTGATGTGGAATTTCTGATAGGGTCACCGTCACCTGGGCGCACCCGAGTGGCACCCGTACTCAATCTGCGGGTAGGTTTGAGGTGGCACTCATCCGAAGACTTACCCGCATTCGTACGATCGCGGGAATGGGTAGATCCTGTGGTACGAGTCAGGGTGACCTAGTGTACCCATCAGGGAAACGTAACACGCTACAGAGCGCTCTGTAGCACTCTGTAGCACGATCTAACCCGCTGATGTACGGGAACGTGTGTATGAAATATATGTAAAGAATAACATCAGCCTATCAATGAACGTACCGCTCGTATATACTCTTCGGAATGAAGCAGGTTCACGTTAAGAAAGATCGGAGTCCTGCGCCAATCATTGTTTTCAAAGTCTAGGCCTGACCGGTCAAGGTAGTAACCGTCAGCCTATCTCCATCTGGACGATTGTAATATGTTCTCCTACGGAGGTGCGCAGAGTAGAGCGCTACATAGGAAAGTATAAATACGCATTGTAGAACTATAGAACATCATTTTACAACGATGCGACTTGTACTCGTAATCACTTTAGCTCTCTCGCAAGCCTTCGTCGTGCTTTCTCAACACGCTGAGCCAGCCTTCCAGGTTCCGACTTATTCTTCTACCTGTGAGGAACAAGCTAGACAATCAGGTACAAATATTCTATGGCCAAATCCACCTTCATAACCATGCTCAATTGATGTGTCCCATCAGGCTTGCCCACCGATGGTTGGAAAATAGTTTACGAAGATGGAGGTCAACCAAAATGCCGTCGAATGACTGTTCAGGAACTCGATATCTGCCACGGTGTTGAGTATATCGACGCCGTAAGTTCGTACATATATTCCCGGGGACAGACACTGAGAGTAGCCGAGCAGGACACCAAAGACAAGAGGTGTTGTCAAGATGTAAGTGGGCTCACATGGATCGACAGGCCTGCCAAGTTAGCCAAGGTATGCGTTCGATATGGGTTCCGGTTGTGAACGCTTATCGACATTTCACAACAGTGCTGCGCCAAGGATCACGTATGGACGTTTGATAACGGAGACGGTCCTACACGCGGAGGGTGTTGCATGGTTGGGTTACACATGCACAATGGGAATTGTGTCCCCCCATACACTCCCCGCCCTCCTCTACACTGCCCGCCTGGGACATACTCGATCGATGACCGATGTGTCCCGATCATCGCTTCCCCTCCCCGCTGCCCGGTTGGGACATTTTTGCAGGATGGCATGTGCATCCCAGTTCCGGTTCAAATTGTCAGCTGCCCGGTTGGGACATACTCGAACGACGGCCAGTGTGTCCCAACTATTGCTTCCCCTCCGCGCTGCCCAGTCGGGACATTTATGCGTGACGGCATGTGCGTCTTAACTCCTTCCCCTCCACACTGCCCAGGTTGGGACATACTTGAACGATGGCCGGTGTATCCCAATTATTGCTTCCCCTCCGCGCTGCCCGCCTGGGACATTCATGCATGATGGCATGTGCCTCCAAATTCCGAACGACATCTGCCCAATCGGAACCCGCATGCAAGATGGTCAATGTGTCCCATTGCTTCAGGCGTGTAGCAATGGTCGTGACAGCGTCGAACCCTCGGTCGCATACGCGAATCACCCGGTCTGTGGACATGACAAGTACCCAGGCATCAGACATGGTCAATGGAGTTGCTCCCAAACTCAACATGAACTCAACTCGCTTGAAAATGACCAAATTCGTTTCAACTCGAAACTGAATTGAGTTATAACTCGCTGGGTTCGAGATTTACATTTGATTTCGTGTATCTATGTGACATTGTAATCCCCTGTAAATGGTCTATATGAGCATTACATTACAATAAGTTTTAGTAGACTCAACGTAGCTGCCACTCCAATATTGGATGACTTTGTTCTGTATGTCCATCAGAGTCAACGGGTCTGAGCGAGACCCAGACGAGTGATTCAGTATGCCGGTACAAGTGTGACTTTGCTTGAGATAGCATCTTCCGCGAGCAGGTCAATTGTCATGAATGGGACTGTTCCTGTGCGTTCCTTGCCGTTAGGTCCATTACGTTCAATTGATGATAAGTCGTAGTCATTCAGGACCCCAATCCATTAACCGTTCAACCAGTAGACCATGAGATTACTAGGACTGACATGGCGGTGATGGACATCGTACTTCCAGAGGGTATAATGACCTGTCAGTGCAGTTAGGGACAATGAAGAGCACAAGAAAAATCAGACTTACACGGTTACACCACACAACTTGCCACCATGCACTGAGAAATTCGTCTCCGCTTAGGCTACGACGTGTTTGGGACACGTGATTTTCAGACACCCCCAACGAGCATAATCGTATCGTGAGTGAGTCGATCTGTTCACGACCAACAGAAATTCACCCCAATTATTGCTGTTCTTTTCTTTGATATCTATGGCTAAATGAACATCCAGCCAGGATGAGGCCTTTTGGCGGTCTGCAGTGTCTGGAAAATTCTTGCAGGAACATTCCACCCATTTGGTGACCTTCATCACTACCATCATACATCAGATTTCGATACAGGGGTCGATTGGGTTCGTGTGACGCGATCCAGTCCAATCTAGTCCTCAATAGACATTCACCCCAACTGTTGCTATTCATTTTCTTCGGCACATGTGGATAATGGACATCCAGCAAGGTCTTTAGCGCTCCCAGTTTCGTGTGTTCAGATCAGCCTGCCTGAATGTAGAGATCTGAGAGGCGGAACCGACACTTATGAATTGGTTCTGAACCGTCCCGAACAGTTTTTGCGATCGAATGCTGTCGATCACATACCGAATTGCTGGCTCACACGCGCCGCTGTTCAAAGCTGGGAAATTGGTTGCGGGCAGTGGACCACCAGCGACTAATGTTGTAGCGGTGTATGGATCCTCGGTGCAGAGGTGTCTCGCATACCCGAGTATTACATATTACACAGACAGTAACGACAGTGGGTGGAAGATGATTAAGTAGCGATGGGAGTACAACTGAACATGATGCGCAAATCTATGGATGATTGAGTGTCGTTTTTGATATCTAGCTCGATAAAAAATGTGGATAAAGGAGACGAAAAACGGATTTATATATTAGAATAATTGGCTCGAAGAAAGGAAGATCGAAAATGTACGTGTACAGAGTGACAAAGAAATCAAACCACGCCTAACTCGAGAAATGTCAGTGCAGTTGATGCAATTACTGGGTACCCCAATGGTTCCATTCAGGACTGCTCTGCACGTCTCGTTGGGAGCTAGTGAAGTGGTCAGGTCCCGTGGTGGGATGTGCATTCATCATTGGTGCGTTTGACGCAAACGATCCACGAGGGTAACGCCCTGGGTGACTGCGACCTCCATTCTTGAAATTAGACTGATGGTCTCTGCGATGTTGGCGACGAGGGGGTACATTGATATTGCGCTGCTCAAACATCGGCTGCATGGGTGCACCACCAGAACCTAGAGGAACGTTTGATGGGGCTTGCACATGCTGGTTGATGCCAAATGGGGCATGATTCGGCAACCAGCCGTGTGGACCCATTATCGGAAAAGGTCCTGGGTTCGGGTGCTGAATCCCTGCTGACACTGGTACGCCAGGTGCGAACGCAGGTGGAGGGTACGGCCTCCAATTATTGGGAGGTTGAGCCGGGAGCGGGGCAGGAACAGCCTCTGTGGAAGTCGAAACTTGTTCGCCTTGAGCACCGGACATATATTGATTTAGAGCATCTGGAGGGTAAACAGGAACCAGAATACCCTGATCACCGTGAATGAACCCCGTAGGTATCAGTGGCGCTTGTGTTGCGACAGGGGTCTGTCCCTGGCCTTGCTCTCGCACGGGTGTTCTCGCAGGATACGGATATGGGATGAATGGCTTGAACAGCACGTCAGCGTTGCAGCATGGGGAATTTGAGATTTATTAAACGTACAGCATACATGCCTGGGTGAACAATCGGAGCAGGTGTTACTGAAGGTGTTCCACGGGTATCCGCGCCACTAACTGGCGGAAACGATTGGCTCATCGGTGGTGGAAGAGGAAATCCAGAGTACGCCCCCATATACTGCATGTGATATGGTGGGAATCCAGCTACCCATCCTTGAGGATGATAGTACCCCATTGTGGGTATTGGATAAGCCATGTGTTGGGGAGGGGCAGACATCACCGACGTTTGTGAAGTGGAAGGAGTAATGGAAGCTGCATGAGGCGGGACGGTGTTGTCTAAATTGACGGTCTGTACGTCATCCGCAACTAGAGAGGAAGATTGTTGAGGTTCAGAGGCAACGTCAAGCTTTTCATCTGACTGCTCGACGTCGAGTGTTGAAGCTCTGGTAGCTGTCTTGTGGCCAATATTCAACTCTTGTAGCCTTTCTTCCAGGGCAATCGCAGATGGTTGTTGAATATTAGGATCCACACGAAGGTTGTCGCTGGAGACAAGGGACGATTCTGAACCATGGCGGACCATGCCCCCCTCAAGGTTTCGCCCGCGATTACGATTAGATCTCCAGTTCGTGCGATGCGGGGGGTTCCAGTCACGGAGCTGGACGCGGATTGGTCGTCCATCAAGGATCCTGTTATGCTTATAACAGATGGATTAGCCTGGGAACAGTGGGAGTGGAGATTTTGATCGTACCTCTTCACTAACAGCTCGAGCAGGAGACTCCTTGTTACTGAATGTGACAAAGGCAAACGCGGAACGCTTGTTGACTACAAAAAATAATCGTTAGTGAGCGAGGACAACGATAATCAAAACCTACCTGGCCGGATAACTTTGACATTCTCTACACCGCCATACTTTGAGAACAAGTTACGGACGCGTTCTTCATCCCAGGCGTTCGGGCCATACATCTCCAATCCTCCGACGAAGATGGTAGTAGGATCTGAGCGTTTTGCATCCCATTGCAGGCCATTCTTCGTGACGAACTCAGGTAGAGATCCGGACTGAAAGTCGCTTAGGTAGCTTCCGGTGGTAGGAGTACGAGGTATCAATGACCCCGGCGTTTTCGGGGTCATAGGCGAGGTCCCAAACTCGGGAGTTGGAGGGATGCCAAGTTCAATATCATAAGATTCCTCCTGGTGAACCGGTGTTGTATTGAAATGCCCTGTAGAACTTGCAACGTCTGAAATACCCGATATGGATGGTAAGTGCGTCATGATGCTAGAGTAAGTTAAGTTCAGTTGAAATTGGCTGTCAGGGTAAACAAAAACTAGCCTCTGATTTTCGTCAGCAGCCTCTATTCGGTCGCTCCAATACTTTCTCGTTTCTCGTTCACGGACTATCTCAGAGATAGGCGGAAAGTGTTTCTTGTTCACGCCTGATGGCTTGTGGCTCAAGGATAGAGCTCGAGGACGTTTTGGTGCCGTGCCTTTCGTATCCAACGTGCCATTCTGCGAGGACCAGGTCATATCGCATAATGCAGTAGACGCTCGGTTAGAATTACGCTCGGTGTTGCCGAGGCTAGCTGACGATGAGATCGGTCGTATGCCAGGATGATAGGGAACTAATGAATCTGCGGATGAAAATCGGTTTGGAAATGGGAAATGCGACGGCGCCATATGCGTGGAGCTAGCTGCTTGAGTTTGCCAATGGTGTTGGCTAGTTTGCACAGGCTGGGCGCCATGGTATGGCATCGGCTGACGTGGGTGAGCTGGATGGTGAGCCCAAGTCACTGTCAGGTGAGGGACTCGGCGCAGAGTCTAGCACTTATGTCAGTATACGCAATTAATTAGCTCTGTAAACTCACCATCAGAGCGTAAACGCAATCATCGCGGTGGCACCATTTGATTTCCCAGCACCCCGTCTCCATTCCTGCAGAGCGGGGGGCATCGTGCGGCGGAGGATATTCCTGCTGAACACCCGACTCGAATTCGTGAGGAACAAAATGTTCGATGCCCCCGAAAATGGTTGATATCTTCCTCAGAGTCTAGGGCAAAGTTAGAACCCACAGTTTTAGTCATAGGCTAGGCTACGAGTACTTCGGCAGTGTAAAGCAGGGGGTTAAAATACGCTCCGGATTCATCTGCTTCTCGATCGCCGAGAGGCAGAAGGCCTTCGTTCTCCGCTGCGGCACGCGCATCAGAGTTGTACAGGACTGACAGGTACCTGGTGGTTTTACTTCCGTCAGAAAGAACGAAGAAAACTGAAGAAGAAAAAATACTTAGAGCCCGGGACCCTAGAAATTTTCATCGCCCAAGGCAGGTCAAGGTCAACAGGCTTACCATCCTGAAGGTCGCCAAAACTTGATTTGGTATCTGACGAAGGCGCAAATTGTCGTGGTGTACTAGAAACCGAGTCAGAAGCATGACTACTTCATATATGCGCGTATTCAAACGCATACATGCACGTGTGGGGACGCGTCTTTGCGAAAACTCACCGGTAGGATACGAGTAGCGTTCTCAAGGCTCGTGCGGGCTCATAGCGTAAGTAACGCCCCATGAATTGTTTAGGGTCCGACGACTGCAAATTTGCGATTAGCATCGCCGCCGTCTCGGCGTCCTGGTGCAGCATTAGAAATATTCTCGGAACATTTAATAGCAGAGACAGACTTGACACTGGATGAATGCGCAAGTGCCGCCCTTTGAGTCACGAACGACCTTGATGGTCTGTACCTCTGGATGATCAGAAAGGTGATCAGAGAGCATACGAGTTAGCTCCAAATGATCGATATTAGTTGGTAGACTATGGAAAAGTTTATGATGAACATGCGAGCTATTCTGTGTCTAAATAACGCACCTTCCAATGAAAATACTAGCGTCTTGAACAATCTTGTCTGTAGACTTCTTAGAGTCGTCACATCCCTCGTTGACGGCCAAGGGGATGCCTTGAGTGGTGACATTAGGATCTTCTGTTGGGAAGAGAGGAGCGGAGAGTAATGTGTCAAAACGAGTACCCCAAGATCGCGCCTGGGTATGCTGCGGCATGTCTATAGGATGAACTAAGGAATAGTACTTGTTAGTGGTGGTAGAGGTTGTAGGTGGAGAGATGGGGTCCAAAATAGAGACACAAACAACGTTGCGTGGCTCGCGGGCGCAGTCTACCTAAACTGCTCTATGATGTGTTAAATAAAATACCAAGTTGTCAGAATAAAATTCCGCAATTCCACGGAGTGAAAAACAGAAAAAAAAAGTTATCCCTTCCCTCCACCGACCGCTGTAGAACACAGAAGATATTCAGATGGAACCAATGATTCTTTGTGATTGGCTCACATGAAATATTGAATCTGCAGAACCATGTTAAGTTTGGAATAAACGACAATCAATTCACATCTAGATGATTTATTCATTTGATGGATTGCACGAGATACGAGCCCGAGATCGGAGAAGGTATTCGCGACGCCTAGTTAAGACGACGCAAGCTCCAACTCAAGGGACGCGATAATCATCCATCCATCAGATCAGCGACCGGAACAGTGCGAGAACAAAATCTGTCATGTTCATACACAAATGAGAACTCGTGGACTATCTCAGCTTGGAAGCTTACCCCAGGTAACTTAAGAAGTACTGCTGCACAACGTGAATTTTGTATTATCGGAGTACCTGCAATGTACGCCAACAACTATTATAACGCAAGCGGAGGCCGCACAGGTAAAATACATCGACGGATGTCGGACCGTCAGTAACAGGGAAGCTGCAGACTCATCTATTAGAATTCTCGCTATTGAATCAATCAAGATAAGCGCACCATTCCAGGTTCAAGAAGAAATAGTGATAAGATATAAGGGAAGCACCCGGGTTTTCATTGATTGACGCTAGATCTTGGTTAATATTGCTGTGACTATGGAGACATATGTCGCCGGAAAGTGCTACTCTCGAGCGTGGTCAATCTATAATGACTGGCAATACAGAGCATTCAGGAGGAAACACTCAGTAGCAGAACTCAATGGGATTCCGCGAACCTCTGCAACACGTCGCTCTGATCAGGTGCAAAAGAGCAAAATGACGTTTTACAAAGTTTCGACGAACGAAGGTTTGGAAGAAAGAAGTCATCGATTATGTAATCCTGTTCTGCTTCCATGCATTCGTCCAGAAATTTGTGTCCTTCATCTTGCATCTTAGGATCGACCAGTCTGCTTCCTTAACCACCTTAGACCCAGTTCAGGATGTCCGACGATGGCTATGGAGGTGGCGGCGGCGGCGATGACTACGACTACGATGGTCCCAGGTATGTTTTGATTACAAAGTCATTGACAAGGAACTTCTGACATATTATTCTAGTTTCAACGATGGTGCCTTCGTGCGTACCTGGCGAATCATACTGTGATAAAACTTTTGACACCGCGTGTTGTTTAGGATGAAGGCTATGATCTCCTCGCACAAGAACAGGAGGGTGAACAGGCAGAAGGAGAGGAGGCAAACGGTGAAGTCTCGCACTGTCAATGGAATCAATGGCACAGACCATGATCAGGAGATGGCGAACGGAGAGGAGAGCGCACAACCTCAGCCAACGCCATCAAGCGTGGGCATTCAAGGCGAGAGACAGGCAAACAAAGTCAGAGTAACAACACCATACTTGACCAAGTACGAACGAGCACGAATATTGGGGACGAGAGCGCTTCAGATTAGGTGAGAGGTCTTTGCATCTTGCTCGCATTTGATCTTATGCAAGCATGCCGTCACAAGCATGAATGCCCCAGTACTTGTTCCCTTGGATGGCGAGACTGATGCTTTGCAAATCGCAATTAAGGAGCTCTCGCAACGAAAAATTCCTCTTATCATCCGGCGCTATCTACCCGATGGAAGTTTTGAGGATTGGAGTGTCTCCGAGTTAATTAGCGAATGACACATCATCTTGTTGAATCCTCTTCCCGCAGTTTTACCGGGCTCTCGCTTGGGTGTTATCTTGTCCTGTTTGACTATCTACCTCAAGACTTAAACTATCTTTGCAATATGCAAATATTACTGGAAGAATATCGACAACGCAAAGGTATACCATACAATAACTACAGCCGGCTATGAAATATTAGGTCTCTTCCCAATCTCCACCCACACCTCTACCCTTGGTTTGGCAGCATTTCGAGACCGGGGTTTACACTCCTTGGAGACGACCGCGCTTGCTCGCCGTACCTTTGCTTCCGGAGATTGCAGTTTGCCCACCACCAGATTATCTCCTCCCGCATTCTTGGCTGCATTTGTCGCATCTGCAAATAATATGCACTTATCTGACATGTCCAACCGATCCATACCATCCGCGATTTTGGCGATATCACGTCTCTTGCGCGGACTGGACTCCACATCTGAGTAGTGTGATGCAGATTGTCGTCGCTTGCTTGGCGATGACGGAACACTGACGAGTTTTTTGGATGGTGAAGCTGGTTGTGAGGAAAATGGATCCTCCAGTGATACATTCTCGACGTTCAAATTTCGCTTTGGTGCACCTATTGAATTAAAATGAGCGGCGCACTGAAAGAAGCCAAGTCCACTCTTACCTTTGCCCTTCGTTTTGGTTGCGGTATCTTTGACGACTTTAAACCCATTGGACTCGTCAATGTGATCAAGAGTCTGTTGTATCTCCCAGTCTGATGGTCGCATCTTCTTCCAGTCTTCCAAGACTTTGTTGGCCCATGCATCAGTCTCCCCTGCGACATGGTAATCGATAATATCAGACCACTCGCTGCCAGGTGGAGTCTTGTTCACGAAAACGACTTTTCCCTGCCAACTCTTTTGCACTTTGGGAGTACCACTAGGTGTAGTTCCAGTCCCAGTGGCGTGTACGACTTTCGCGAAGTCTTTAACGAGCTTTTTGAGACCGTGGACCTTGAGTGAAGTACCCATGATAATGAGCATATCGGGTTTGCGAGCGATGTCCATCGTTTGTATTGTGCCTATGTCGTCCCCAAGAGGGTGCGGTTCATCGTAGAGTACGATAGCTGGACGAAGAGTCCCAATTTTGAGAGCACGTGCAGAACGAGCAACTCGTGCTTCCGCTACTAGAGACTTAGCTAAGCCCGAAAACAAACATGAGAGCCGACTTACATCGTGAGATACATTCTGGGCAGTTCGGGGCTTTGCCATTCTCGAACGCGTGCAAATGCTCTTCGGTACAAGGCATCTCGGCAGAGCAGAAAGTGCACCGCACACGATGGATATCGCCATGCAGCTGGACGTTCCTTATTTCCTTGACTCTTAGCTTCGACTTCTTCTTCCCACTGGTCTTCGCTTGCTGGCTGGAACTCCCACGGAGCCCTATTCGCTCTTCTAGACCATCGATGTTCTGGGTGTACGAGCGTACTAGTTTGTGTTTTGAGTCTAGGGTTTGAATGAATCGATGTGTAGGAGCAGGAGTGGCAGCATCGATGGAGCGCTTGAGCTGTGATATGAAAGTATAAAAGACAGAGGTGGACGCGGAGTCACGGAACAGAGACGCGTCAAAGAGATCACGACCTTTCAGGACAATGTCTGGGTATCGCTGCTTCACGAGCGAATAAAGACCATCTGAAGACCGGAAATCCTACATCAAGAGAATTGTTAAGCCATCGCATCTGCTACACGTGCAGAGGACTCACCGGAATGCCACATGAACATGAAATACCTGCTCCGGTGACAACAACTATCTTTTTGGATTTGGCTACTGCCAAAGAAGTGTCAGAGAGTGCCCTCCGTGTACTGGACTCTCCAGACACTGCATCAAGCTGTAGTGAAATCGTCATGAGGTGATTGCTGCCTATGGTGGTGGTCGGAGGGTCAGGATTGATGTAATTGGGAATTCCGGATGTGCTAACACGCTGCCGACAACTCAACTGAAATTCAGGGTGAACACTATTTTAGGCAAATAGTTGTTGACACTTGTTTATGGACGTGTCGCGTCGCGCTTGTCACGTGACTGACGCGTCCTTAATGCCATCGAGGTATTAATAGATGGCAAAACATACATGGAGACTCTGATCTCAAGTTTAAATTTGATGTAGAATACCGCAACTCATAAACGACTTAATAGTCCAGAAAACAGCAGACAATGACCGACATATGTAAGGCACACGCGACCTCGCAGAACAAGGTGACACTGAACGCTCGCATATGTTTAGCTTAGTGTGAGACAGCCTTCTCGGACGTCGGAGTTCGCTCATAATACCAGATCCCAGTTTCTGCGCAGGTCGACGGAATAATAGAGTCCAGAGTTTTGAAGTGACCGTATTGCTCCTAGACCAGGGTCAAATAAACCATGGCACATTCATTATTGACATGACATACCGTGCCCAGAACATGGTGGAAGTACCAGATCTCCTCCAAAACAGCGCCATTAGCATCATAACAGCCAAGCCAAGGGTCAGCACCAGTCTGGGAGTAAAGGGCATTTGCGATCTGGGCGCGGGTGTATGTCGTTGTATTGGAGGGGACAATTCCTGCACTATTGTTGTCCAAGGTCGTCAGTAGTCACAGACTACGGCGAATAAACTTGAACTTACGCAGCGAGCATATCGTAAGTAGGATACATCTGGAAAACCTTTACGACAGTCTCAAAGAAGTTCACGACTTCCTGGTGTGTCTTGTATCCGGGCTCGTAGCAGGCAACATCGAATGTGGAAGTGCAAGTGCCATGCTTTGAGAACTGGTAGCAGCTCCGTCAAGAGGCCCGCTATGTAGGTGATATTGGCCCACCTCACGAGCCCAAAGTTCCTCATTAGGTGCGCCCTGGTTGATCCAGAAGGTATCCACTGCAACGAATGTTGGACCATACATGTTGACGCGTAATTTTGTTCACATACTGTAATGCAATAAGTCGGAACGACCGAACTCATGGATAAAATTTCTAACGCTCGGTCCATTGTAAGGAGTAATAACCGTCCCATTGGGCAAGGTCGACGGTGATGGCTTGGGGTCATACTGCCTGCTAAGGTCGCAATACTGACCGAACGTGCTGTGCAGAGAGAAAGGCGTTCATCAGTATTCATAAAATTTGAAAAGCAACACAACTTGCCCGTCGCAGTCAACTGGCAGTAAGCCATGAATACTCCAGCTGCCTTTTGGAAGCAGCTGATCATGGGACTCGAGACCAGTATATGTGTCCCAGTACTGTGCCTGTAGGACGAGCCCGCCCTGTACGACATTACAGCACGAATCTTCACGACTGTTGTGTTCTCGCAAGAATACTGTACTGGGAGGCCGACACAAGTCTCGATATTCGGGTATGTGGGGTAGAATTCGGCATGAACAACAGAAATCAGGACTCCGAGAACTCCGAGAATGGCAAGGGACAACATATCCGAGTTATAGGATGTTCGGGAGAGGCACCTCTTCGCAGGAGGATCGTGTTGCCGACGTTTATACCTGCGCTCTCACCTGCTATTTAATGTGCAGAGTCTGACCTGATCTGACCAGGCCTGACACGTCAAAATATCGACAGGGGAGCTACGTGGCGGAACGCCTTAGTGCGCCTCGCCAATTTTTTCGCACATCATTGACTCTCACTTTATATTCAAACAATTCTCACTCACTTATAAGTTATGACTTTCTTGTAGACTAGACTCGTCACTGCCTGATGGCGCATTTCTCAGTTGCTACCCAGTTTGGGTTTCTGACAGTCGAGAATTAGACTGGTGATACGTCGACTGTTCATGACTGCGGTATTCCACGACTATTGACCGAAGTGACCGCTCTAGGGTATTCTTCTCCGCTGTGAGATTTGTGCGTATAGGGTGACCCTGGGATCTTCGATTTCGGGATTTGCAAAATGGCACAATAATCAAGACATACTTTCCAATGCCCAGCCTTTGAGATCATTTGTTCTGCAGGCGCTCGCAAAAGGCTGTTAGGCACGGTGAGCATATCGGCCGAACGATGCCAGCTTGGTGTGTTCGCCGTTGGACAGTTATGATGGACGACAACCCCTCAAGACGTTGGTGCAGTGACTGCAAGAGACCAAACAACGTTTTGACACTTTCCGTTCTTGGCTCACGAAGATTGTAGAACAGAAAACGGCAGCTCTATGTGAAGGCATACGTGTCCTTGTAGAACAAAGTGGCAATGTGCGTCTTGCATTTGACTTAGTAGGAAACAACCCGCTCAGATGTCGTAGTCCGCTCATAATACCAGATTCCGGTTTCTGCGCAGCTCGACGGAGTGGTGGAGTTGAGGGTTTTGAAATGACCATATTGCTCCTAAGTCAAGGTTAAGGAAATCGCTACACGGTCTCTATCAACGCGACGTACCGTGCCAAGAACGTGGTGGAAGTACCAGACCTCGTCCAAAATAGTGCCATTGCGGTAACAGCCAAGATATGGAACAGCGCCAGTTTGGGAGTAAAGGACATTCGTGATCTGGGAGAGGGTATATGTCGTTGTATTGGAGGGGAAAATTCCTGCACTATTGTTGCCGAAAGCCGTTAGCAGTGATGGACTATGATAAACAAACATAAACTTACGCAGCGAGCATATTGTAAGTAGGATACATCTGGAAGACTTTTGTGACTGTCTCGTAGAAGTTCACAACTTCTTGGTGTTCCTGGTATCCGGGCTCGTAACAGGCAACGTCGAACGTGGATGTACAAGTAGCGTGCGTTGAGAACTAGGCGCTGCTCCGTCAAGAGGTCCTCCAGGTGAGTGATATTGGCTCACCTCGTGAGCCCAAAAGTTCTCATTAGGCGCGCCCTGGTTGATCCAATACGTATCCACTGCAAAGAATGGATTATACACCAGAATATGCAAGTTTGGTCCACATACTGTACTTCAGCAAGTCGTAACGACCGAAATCCTGGATGAACGTTCTGACGCTCGGCCCATCGTAAGGAGGAATAACCGTCCCATCAGGTAAGGTTGACGGCGACGGCGTAGGGTCGTATTGCCTGCTAAGGTCACAGTACTCGTTGTACGAGCTATGCAGGGAGAAAGACATTCGTCAGTGACCGTGATATTTACAAAGAAATTCGTCCTACCCGTCGCAGTTATCCGGCCATAGGCCGTGAATGGTCCAACTGCCTTCTGGAAGCAGCTGTCCCTGGGACTCGAGACCAGTATAAGTGTCCCAGAACTGTGTCTGTAGCACGAGTCCGCCTTGTACGACATTGCAACATGAATCCGTTAGGGCCGTTGTATTCTCGCAAGAATATTGCACTGGGAGGCCGACACATGCCTCGATGTTCGGGTACGTGGGTAAAATCTGAGTCAACGAATAATTGAGTTTGGCGTGAACTACGGAAACCAGGGCTGCGAGACCGATAAGGAGCGACATATCACAGAGAATGCGTTCGACAGAGATACTTCATACTGGAGGATCATGTTGCCGACTTTTATACCTGTGACCCTTGCCTGCTCACAAAGGCCGAAGCACCGACAGGAACGTGCGTATCGGGAAGCTGGACCACATGCAACAGCCGCAGAAGTGAATGGATGTGACAAACGCGCATGGGTGTGATCACGCGGTCACTACAAGGCCCGGAAGACCTAGTCAACGTTAACTAGCATTTAATAATCAAAGCCAAGTACTCACGAACCACGAATGACTGTAAGCGAGAGTTCATGCACCAAGCATTTGCAATGGGATCGACCTGGAACGCCATATTTGTGCTTGAGCAAAAGTGAAGGGAGCGTCGCCTAACTAAGTTTGGGCTGACTTCAAAGTTGCGGCTCAATTGCGGCTCAGCGCTCAGCACATAGGCCACTAGTTGGTACTGCGGCGGCCCTCATTAGTCTAATTTAATTTTTTTTGTTTGGACACTTGGATTTCTAATAGCAAGATATCTGTGGCAACGCATGGAACATGGAAGCACAAAGCAGATCAAAACATGATTCATCTGAGGATCAACTAATAGGTCCAGAGTCGAGCAAAAGTCCAAGAGCAGCTAGCGAGATTATACGTCGGTCCATCCACCTTCGTCCAGCTTGTAAGAGGCCTCGCTCTCAGGGCGGTCGGGGCTATCCACCAGCTTCGCGACACGTTCTTCAGCCCGTCCTGGAAGTTAGGTGGATAATGTTAGTACGGTTTGCATCTGGCCTCAGACTCCTTCTGGATAACACCGTAAGCTGTGGTAAGCATCAATGACTTGCCTTTGCGAAGAAACATCCGAGTAGCTGAGGAGTGCGATAGAATATGTCCGCCAATGGGTTTGAGAGCCCCGCCAGCCACGAACGTCATCGTTGCTCCTGGGTCGGCTATGCGAAGAGGATGAGCTGGAATTTCGAAGTATGACTAGTTAAATACATACATTGCACTTGGTTGGTTATCAAGACAGCAATCTGCGAGAGATATCAGTCTTTTAAAATAGTTTGCCAACAAACATCAAACGTTGAATTCCTCTGAAAGCTTTGTGAGCTTCGACATCACCTAATGCGAATGTATCGTGTCAGCAAACATGACCAGGAGTCATTTTTGAGTCATCATGCCCACTTGTGCTAGCTACACTGTGGTGAGTCTTAGCATCTGGCAATGCAGGCTCAAAGACCCACCTTCTGTTGCCTTTCGCTGAGTTCGCCACGACCAGAGAAATCGACGCGAAAGAGAGCCATGATGGAGTCCACGATCTGATTACTGAGTAAACAATTTCTTCGCAACGGAGATTGCAAGACCTACTAAAAGACGGAAGTCTTTGTCCTCCGCAAAGCGCATGGAACATTCGCTGATAAGTTCCATCTGCAACATATTAACGATGGCCGCATAACAGTAGAGAAGGGGAGCAACCTGGTGTTCACTATTAAAGGCACGCGCTGCGAGTGCTATGTCTCAATGATGTGAGGTATAAAGTCAGAAAAATACCATAAAGGATATTTTCGAGCGCCATATTCCCGTCCACACCAAAGCGTTCAGCGATGGACCTGATGCGATCTGGTCTGAATGTCCCTGATACAACAAGAGCGTCGGCGATAGGTTGTCACTTGTAAAATAACAACCACTGCACCTTCGGTATCGATATATGCGACCTATTGCTTAAATTCGATTTGACTTGATTGCAGAAGAAAGGCTCGCTCACCTTGCCAGAAGCCCCACCCATCTCCGGAGGGAGCTGGGCGACAACAGACATTGTGTGGGCCAGCTGTGTCTTTCCAGTGCGAAATTCACCGTAGACTGGTTTAAAACAGCTGAATGCTAAACACGCAAAAACTGGCGGGGCTAACTACCTTCGGAAATTGATTGTGACATCAGCCCGCCTGAAGCCAGTAAGCATGAGCCCTGTCGCAATGAGTCGATATACCCACCACCTAAGATTGTATCTACTGACTTGCTTCCAGTACTGATGATGAGCACGCGCTTTCTTCGATCCTGAACTTCAATGCCAGTTGCAAAGGAAGACCCCTTGTGAAGGATTATGAGTATTAGAAGACAATAGTAATGGTTGACGGCCACCGTGATTTTCTGTGCTGCCTCCTGTGTAACATTTTGGGTTGAAAGCGGAACACGGTCACCAACATGGATATATGCGCACCTTAATCTTCTCAACCTTTGCTTCCGACATACCCTACAAAGAAAACATCGAATTCACTAAGGTCACCCTCGAAAAATTGTAGTAAAATTATGCGAACCTTTATCTTCAGTAGCTGACGACGCGTAGTCATCACGACACCAGACACAGTATTGATGGAGGCGCTCTAGAGCCTCCATAAGCCTGGTTAAAATTGCGCATATACTGGGTGAATACCTTGAGTTTTAAGATATCTTGCACGTTTATGCCCTATAAGACGTTGTGAGTCCCGAGCATATATTCGAATGAGAGATACCAACATGTTGCTGTAATTCATCCACATTATCAAAGAATGGCGTCTGTAACGCGCCGCGTACACGTGAGCTTTATAGCGAATATCAACGACCGTAAGCAACCTCACCTCTTCGATTTCTTCACCGCCTGGACTCGATGGTCGGCTGGGAGGGGGCATGCTTCCTTCTGGTGCGGCATGTCGACGAGGGGCCATAGCTGTGTTATGAAAAAACGAAGAGTCCTAGAATTGTATATGGGCTAGAAACAACTAGGCAAGAACCTGCAGCCAAATACTTCATACTTAAAAGAAGCAAAGCGACTGATGCACAGCCACCGCTATGACCTCGGACGGAAACGGAAGTTAGACTGCTAGACTCTAGTACATACGAGGTGTGCTTGAAAACAAGGCAGCGCCAGCCACGTTCAGATCAAGGTACTCTGCCACCAACGTGGCCATTTGTAACCCTCGAGCTGGTCGAGAAACTGTCACAAAAATACAATATTAATACATTGACCACTGCACTGGTTGACCTGCTACATATAGTCCCTGTTGCGTTATGGTTCGTATGTCCATTTACGGGCAAGCCCCAATAAGCACAGTCATCTTCCGCAGAGCACTTCCTGCATATGAACTCTTTGTAAAAATCAGGCTCGTGTGTAATTGAACAAGGAAGAGAAATCGAACATACTCCAAACAGAACTGTGTGATTTAGATAATGGTAGAGCTCGTAAAGGTCTGCTCTGAGCTCATACTGATCCACAGGTTCGGTCTTGGGCAGGTGTTCATGATACTTTTCAAAAAAGCTGCGTGGAAATCCGCCAAAGATACGAGCGATGGCCAGACTGAACTCCGCACATGTTAAGATGAAACTGCGATTACTCCGCCTTTGCTGTTGGACTCACTCAGCCTCATTGTGACCGTAGTAAGATGACGGATCGAAGATAACAGGTTGACCCGATGAATTATCTATGCCCGCGTTACCGCTCTACTAATATCAGCAAATAGCTGCGAATGCTCAACAAGACGCTTACCCAGAGGTCACCATGTAATAGCACCGGCTCAATCTCGAGGGGCCGAAGCAAGGATGGTATCACTCTGTACAGCTGCAGTAGCTGACTCCCGTCATAAGTCACCACGCACTTACTTAGACTTACTTGTTCCCCTTTGATGCAAAGTTCTGAAAACGTGCCTTTATCGCGAAGCTTGGCGAGGAGATTTCCAATCATGGCGCTGTAGCATTCTTCCCAGGTTTGATGCCAGTTGTTGTCTTGCCGAGTTGCTCCGCAGAAGGTAGGCACGTGAAATCCGAAGCCCATGGTGCTCTTGTATACGTGCAATTCCGTAGCTAGCCTCATCCCAAGGTTCCCCTGCTTTGTGGTTTGAAGCAAGACTTGTAATATTCCGGTATTCCGACAGGAAATAAGGCTGTTCAGATGTTGCGGCAGAATCATCTGGACCGACCGCTGCGAGCACCTGAGGAGCCAGTCCTGGTGCAGCATTGTGTATGGCTCTGAGTGACTCTGCCTCTCCCACGAACTGTTCTCGTTCGCTGAACGAACCTACTTTGGCATAGTACTTTCTCCCAAGTGATGATTCTATGATCGGAAAACTGAATGTGAAATGTGCATGTGGCTCTATTTTTTGAAGGTGGGGGAGAAATATCTCGTCCATATGTGCTCGGTATCGAACCAAGTGACTCGGCGGAGCATGTAGGTCGGCCTCGCGCTAGATTCCATTTTCCCACGTTAACGGAGGAGCCTCGGCTTTGTCGAACACAAAATCACTCTCTACTTTTCTCTGCACAACTTGATCCGATTATCTTAATCACTCCCCATCCAAATTTTATTCCTAGTCGTTCATGCAGAGCTTGTACCGTACACTATAACCGTCTTATAACATCTTATGTCTTGAGCTTGATGTCACACTACCGGTCGAACGCCTTCACCTGCCAGGTCTTTCACGTATGTACATGTATCTGATGCCTGGCCAAGTCCTCCCTGCCCGTGGTTCCTTCCCTTCTCTTTGGAAAGGTACGTATTTCTTCGCTGTTCTACGTACCTCATATCGTCTGTTGGCTGATCTTAGCGCTCTAAATGTCACCGTGGTGACGTGGTGGGTGATGATCCTGTATGGTCTTTCTTTTCCCGACGACCACTTTCTGATTTGGCCGAGCCTGTCGTCAGAGGCAGCTCGCGAGTGTCCTGCAACTTTGTCCCGGAGAAGCGTACCTGTCCATAATTTGTCAAATCCCTTCTGTCGCACTTCTACCGCTTACGCCTCGAGTTGGGTGCTGCACCTAATGAAACTTTGTTCGTCGTCCGTATAAAAGATATCCTTGCTGACCCAGACCCTATACCGATTTATGAACCAGACTTTGTTCTGAACCATGAACCATATCATAACCCGATCAACCCTCAAAAAACTTGACCCGCGTCGGCCATTGTCATGGGCCTCGCTAGCTCTGCCTGAGGCAGCAAGTCTTAACACCTTGCCATTCTGTCTGATTGGACTTTCATGCGTAGATTTTCTAGCTGGTTTTACAGTGAGCTGTGGTACATCCCTTCATCTTCGTTCGTCGTGTTTGGACTCGATTTGATCTTGGGTTTGAAAATAGGTTTCCCCCTTTGCTTGAGTACTGGTGCTGGCAATCAGTAGCCGCACCACGGTAACCTACGAGACAATCATTCGGACGGCACTATACCCTGTGTATTCCTTAAACGCTGACAGCTTTCAACTTTGGCCCTGCTTAAAGTGTGATGAACGAGTAATTGCAAAAGCGCAGTCGGGGTCTTGGGCGCGTAGTTGCCTGTACCCATGAATATATAGCACTGCAATGCCGGGTGCCAATACACTCAAATCTTGGAAGTGCTCGTGACGGGCGGAATCATGTGGTTTAGACCGGGGGATACCGCACCATGCAAGTTAAACGACAGCTACTATATTGCTGAAGTCCTTGAAGTAGCGGGTTCAGGGGCCATTCTGAATTTCGGACGATGTTGGAGTCTTTACTGTCAGCTTCATCGAAACGCATCGCTTTACTAGAACAACTCTGGCATTTCAATATAACAGTACAAGTCACGTCAAACAGCTGATCAGGATATATTTATGTGCATATTTACGGCGAGGCAAGTGCACCTGCGCGTGGCATTTAGTTCTTGCAGTTGCAGTTACCAACCAGGCAGTTGCAGCTGTTGACAAATAGTCAGGAACCAGTCATTGAAATGTCGCAAGGCAAAACTCACGTGGTGGTGCAGTTGCATTGCTCGGTGTTGTTGTTGAACATGATGATGGTGGTGAGTGCGGTTAAGCTGCAAGACGGTGTCAGCCGCGTCATGGTCAGAGGGCTCAGATTCAATATCCAGACAACCCACCTTGTATGTGAGGCAGTTGATGATAGAGCGGATTGCTGGAGGAAAAGTCAGTCAAAGAGGGGCTATTTTATATTGCCAACCATTAGTGTAGTAACAAAAATAGACAGATGATAAGCAGAAATTCAAAGCGTGTATTTGTATCCGTCGATCCCAGGATTGTCAACACTGTCATGAGCCCCACAGGGCGCAGCAAGGGAGGTAACTAAAAAGGGTCGGCTTCCGCTTCAAGTCTGACAAGATATGAGCGCTATGTATGAGCTGCGGGACATGCATACCACCACACTAGTACTAGTAAAGTAACACAAGATCGACTTCTCCTCCAAACCTGATAAGATAATTCCAGGACCCTAGATCAAGAGGGGTATACTGATACTGGTTTTTTTTATCGGTCACACATGTGGCTGAGTTGAACCAGAACGTTCATAGCCACTGGGTCTGATTCGTTCATGTTTATTTTTGATTTGTCAGCTCTTTCGTTGCGACCTCTCTCTCAGTGAACGTCCTCGAATTCGCCTGCCGTCACATAATAGTTCTGCATCGTCATAGTGTTTAACCGGAACCTGTCATGACTGCAACTTCGTCGTATCTGCTTTGCCACTCACGCCTCCCGTTTCCTTGATTGCGTCGGATCAGGAGCTCCTTGATGAGGGGACGTCTGTCACCTGCGTTTTACGCAAGTTCTTTGGTTTTGTTGAGGTATCTCTCGATCGAGTTCGACAAGCGGTTCGTGATCGATCGATCAGTTTCCGGTTGGACGTTTGTTGCCCGTCACTGCTCCTACTTATTACGGCACGTCGTGGTCCTGGAGAATTTTCCTTACATGACTCGTGACAATTGTGCCACTATCGCTCCGCACGTTCCATTCGCGTTCTGATCGATGATCGATCGGAAGGAACACCCGCGTGACATGCTACAAGCGCACGCATGTGATGTTGAGTTTGTCAACAATTTAACTGTTCTCGTGCTTTCAAAGACGCCCAGGCAAAATTTAGATCATGCCTGATCCTCTTTCAATCCTTTTCGCGATTGCAATGCTGCCTCGCAGCATTCGATCCGTAGTCGAGTCCAAACGTCTTGCGGCAAGGGGCAAGGACACGAACCAAACTCATCTCCGTCTCTATCTCGAAGGAGGGAACAATCTTGGAACCGCTTGGCGTTGACAAACATGCGACGGGGTTTAACTGCAGAAACGTTCCGTATGGGAGAGCACGTGTACAACTGTGCGCTTATTGTCCACAGACAATCAGGCACACCGTCGATGAAAACACGTTCCATTGGGACATGGGAAGGGTCGAACCTTAGGGAGTACAACGATTACAACAATGATTTACCTGTCGTCGTGCCGTCGGTCGGAGGTCATGAGTGTGAACGAGTGAAGAGTGAAGCAAAGGCAAATTCCTTCCTTTTCAAATTGCTTGAAATTATATAGGTAGCCAAAGATGACACAGTGGGAGACATTGAAAGGAGAGAAGGAAATAACAGGTCCTGAGTTGTCCAGAGGCTGTGATGAATTTCAGGTGAAAATGGGAGCCAGGCATGAGTGGTGTTGCCCGTTCTGGACACTTCCGAATCAGGAACGGCGGTTGATCACACGCACTTGTCCTGATACTGCGACGAGGCATGAGGTTTTAATATTGTGTTATTCAGAGACCTCTGCCAGCATTTCACCAGGCCCTTGCTGCTTCTCGGACAGGTGCTCGCGGCAAAGAAAAACTTGACCGAAGCTGTTCTACTTTTCGACGGGTACTTTCTTTGGATTCCCGGAGATGGAGTAGGCTTTCGAGGACACTGTAATTACCGAGCGTTATTACCGAGCATTCTTGAGTTCTCAATTAACTAACTAAGCCCCTTCCTGCATTATGCGTTCCAAAGAATTTCCTGCACTTTTTCAGGCCTTCGAGAACAGGATGCCTGTTGTACGTTGGTTGTACATTTGAATTAACTGCGCTTCGTTCGGACTTTGTGGTATTAACGTTATCAGTCGCCAATTACAGCGACGCCGCGGCTAGCTGGCCAGGCCCCCACTGATTGGTATCTTGCCCATCACGGGGTATGGCCTGATATCAACATTGTCGTCAGAGATCTTGCTCGTGACTTGGGACAAGTGTCACGGAGGCGACTGCAGTTGTCTTTAAATGCCATATCTCATAAAAATCGGGTATGGCTTTGCTCTTCTTATTTCCCGAGGACTCACGACTATACAGAAGTTATGGAAAGACGGTCAAATAGAGTATTGGAAGAAGATTAACTAACGCACGCGGTTGATTTCATTAAGTTTCACGCTCACAGCGGGTCCTCGTGATAATCTTTCTGAGCAGAGTTAGTCGGAGAATCGGAGACCTCAATGTGAATCTCGTCTATATCAACCGCTGTGGCAGCCGGACGAAGAACGAACGGCGCCAGGAGCTCCGATGTGACCAAAAAAAACGCGGTCATAATGGCAAACCATAAAAATCGATTTTTCATTATCCCCTGGTATTGGTAACTGATTTGTGCAGGTATCTATGAAGGAAGACACTCAATCTTTTTTGGAGCCGTTGGTTTGATCGCGAACTATCAATGTCTCGAGGATGGGAAGATAGACTTCACATTGCCTCTCTGTGAGCTCGTAGAAATCTTCGTTGGACTCTGATCGCGACATGCGCTTCGGTATCGCGGTTAAACCAACGACCGAGCATTGTGAACGTTGTTGACCCAAGGAAATGCTAGCATCGAAATAGATATCAATCAATCAGGAATCTCTCTTTCCGAGTCCCCTTGATGACGGTATCATTAACTCCTCATCCCTCGCCGTTCCGCTTGGTCCACTCTCTATCCTTTTGTGTATCCAGCGGCAGTCAATGCATTTCTGACATACTGCTTGTCAAAGCTTGACTGTCCTTGGTCAGGTTCATACTAGTCTCGGGGCCAGTATCACGACGAACCAGGCGTAAGGACTTTACCCATGAGGATGAGCTTGTCTTTCCCAACAAAAGCAGATGTAACAAGACCGAATTCAAACTTGGTGTATATGAGAATAAGTCCGCATGATTCTGCATATTCAGCAGCAGTCGTCCATGGCTGCAAAGACGCAGCCTGGATACGGCCGAATAAATCTTGGCCGATGGGTTGAGCAGCTGATGAAGTGGGTATGAGTGACTTTGAACAAGCTGTACCAACAATATCATCACATTTTTCAGGCGAGATATTCTCGTCGTGAGTGCCTTGCTCAGCCTTGGTGGACGGAGTGAAGATTGGTGTCGGAAACTAGTAAGTTTGGGATCCTTCTATCTTCTCCGGCATTGGGATACCGCAGACAGTCTGCGACTGCCCAGGTTGACCCTGTTCACAAAGTCATCCCGGTGGCTCCAGGAGGTTATCCGGACAACGAATCAGCTCACCAGTGATATACATAATGATCGCTTCCATGGGCACCAGTACTTTGGCCAGCCTTTCTTACAAGCATAGTCATGGTGCAACCCTCGAGTTGCTCGCGGTACTGCTGGACCTCATCTGCATCTCGTCAATATTGACAGTAACAAGATGGTTAGGAATGATATGCGTTAGCTTCTCAAAACCAGAACAGCGAGATGCCTGCGAGGAGTTTGCCCTTGCCTGGGATATCCTAGAAGCAAAGCACATGAAATCAGGCAGAAAAGAATTCAGAGATCCACGGACACTATTGAGGATGACATCGTACACCGATATCCGCTCGGTTGCGACAAACAATAGATGATCGGGCGAGGAAGTTGCATAGATGTCGCGGACCTTTCCTCTGGAAAGAAGTTGAGGGTCTGGCAAGTCCATCTGCAGCAAGGCTGCACTGCGGGGTGAAGAAAAGATTTTAAGTACGTCTGTTTAGACGGGATGGTTGGACTACTTCGGCGATCGCAATATTTGAAGTGGTGATGTAAGTACTCTAGAGTCTATGTATGTATGTATGTATGTATGCATGCATGCGTTAGTTGTGTCTATATTCCTATTACTCCTATTATGTTACAGGACGCCGTGAAGATATCTTTGAGGACTCCGCACTATACAGTCGGGACGAGCCTACAATCGTTGTCAGCACTTGAACCATGTAACCGAGGGTCGGGACACCGACAAGTCATATTTGACCAACTCGTCAACATCAACGAATGCTGCTGAGGCCATTTGACGGGCTTCTATCCACATCCAGACCTGTCTCGAGCATAAGTATTTGTGACAAAAACGAAAACATCCAGTATCTACCTTCAACAACGCTCCAAAGTTTCCTGAGGGTAACTGTGTCATCGACTCTTGAGTTGTCATCTGCCGTCCGAGCTGTCGCAAAATTGGCAATGCGCTCTTGAACAGATCTAGACTCGGGTCCAACTGTCTCCCAATGCCTTCAAGAAGCAATATTGAGATAACCGTGTTGATGAAATCCGCCTCCATCTTGACATGGTGCTGCCGCACAGCTGTTAGAACATCGGTCAAAATGTCCGAAATTTTGATCTGCCCAAGTGAGAACGTTTTCCGTTTGATGCTCAGAACGATGTGTTGCATCTTCAGCGCAAACGTCTCGGTGTCGGTCGCAAGTTCAGGAGTCCGGCAACGTTCGACCATCAATTGACCGGCTCGGTAGCCATCAAACTCAGCAACAGCCCTGAAAAGATCGAGGAAGTTCTTGCGGTTTGTCGCGTTAAGCGTTGTCACGAGACCAGCATCGATGAAGACGATTTCAGGAATGTAGCCCTGCTCCGATGAAATCCTGAGTTCCTTTTGCCACTCCTCACGGGAATGTCTGAGTGAGCGTAGTCGAGCTACTATTTGATCAGATTCCGGCGGGCCCTCGACGAGAATTTCGGCAGAACCCTTTTGGGGAAAAAATGAGGAGTACATGCTCATAAGGAGATCACGGGTGGTTGGAGGCTTTGTAAATTTGATCATGATGTTGCCTGGATGAAGATCAGAGTGCACGAAGTTGTCAAGTAGTAGCATTTTCTGCGGGGCAATGGGTTAACGAAAACTACTGGAGATAGTTCACGGACCAAGAAAGCATCCAATCCGACGGTTGCCAATTGATCATCAAATGGCCCACCTCCGTTTTTCAAAAAGTACTCCATACGCAGAGCATTTTCGTATTCCTCGACAAGTAAGTCGGCAGTCGAAAATGTCTTCAAAGGACGTGGAAATGAGACGGGCACATTTCTCGAAGCAAAGTTATTTTCAAATGTCAGCAGGTTCTCTGCCTCAATTCTGAGGTCGAGTTGTCGACGCATCATTTCACCAAAGATGCCGACCTCCTCTGGAAGTGATAACCATTGCATACCAGGGAAAATGGTAATGATACGCGCAAAGAACGTCATTATGGATAGGTCATGTGCGATATCCTTAGCGACGCGAGGATGTAGGACTTTGATGGCGACAGATGCAGTAGGTACTGAAGGTGGAGGGTCTTGCAGGATAACGGGGGCTAGTGACCCTGCGGGTGATTTAGTTTGCCGTTTTGGACCAAGGTAAGAGGGAGGTATAAGGTCATGCTTGAGAGTTGCCCGATAGACCTACAGGTAATGAGTCCGTTAGTAGCCTACAGAAGCCCGCAGCGAACCCACTTGTGCAATGGCACCGACTCCTATCGGATTCTCATCAAAAACTTCGAATACCTCGTCGAATGACCGTTCAAAAGCCCTTTCGATGATCTGCCTAGTGTGCATGAATGAATGTGGCTTGCCACGCGAGTGCAAGGACCCCATTTTCTCGCAAAGTAATGACGGGAAGAGGTCAGCACGCGATGCCGCCCATTGCCCAAGCTGAATGGTCAGCGAATAAGATGGAAAGGACGCTATGAAATAGATACCTTGATGAACGTTGGCCCGGCGGTCTGCATTCTCCTGACAAGAAATTCGTACCACCAAATGGCTCCCCACTTGTCACCCTTATATCTACGTTCAGGCTTCCCAACAAGAAGCATAGGCATGGTAACGATGACAGGTATGAACAGATAGAACAGGTGAATGAATCTTCGTGCCGTCAACAGAGGTTCCCACAAGTGTTCCTGCAACAGTGATAATATCCGCGAGGAAATAGACATATGGGGCTCCGCAGGCGACCCTATTATAGGATCTTTTGCTTGTACGTTTAAGTCGTGTTCCGTACACGGAATAAGGGTCGGCGAGGAAAAGATGGAAGGTAGGTGGAGCTGTTGGTTAGGATAAAGGTAAAGTGCGACACCGCCAGTCACGGGAATAAGCCATGTAAGATTGCGCCATAACCGGGTGGGTGGTTTGTTGGGGCTTTTGAACGACTGTAGACGGGATGGAGCAGTATGTTGTGATCGCTGAAAGGTATGACGGACGCTCAACCCAGAACCATGGACGATACTCGGGCGGTAAGATAACACTAGCAACCGCATTTGTGAGGGAAGTGCATGTATACGCTGAAACTGCATCCGTAGCACTGAAACAGTACTTCTGTATTTCTACACGTTCGTTAGGAAGACAGCAGTGCTCTGCAGAGCAAATTGGTTGACTCGGCAATATTTTCGGAGCGAACAACTCACCGTCATGTGCTAGAAGATTGAAACACACAAACCAGATATTAGCGCTACGCACTCCAGTACAGTTGTGATGGTTCTGGATGACCTAGTCTGGGACAATTGCCTGGCCAAGCGGCATTTGCTTTCACGGCTGCCGACTTCCATCCGATTTGGGAAGCACTCCATAACACGTGATTGATAGACCATGGTCAATGCGTCTTGATTCTTGAAGCTCGATTGTTCACGAAAAACAAACGCGCAATAAAATAATCATACACTTGTTACGACGTTTTTTCTGACTGTTGTCATTCTTTCGAATTTTGACCGTTGGTTGTGTTGGTTGCGCCTCACGCGTATAATGATCAGATTATTCTTTATGAAATATCGCTCACGTGACCGGGAATATGGTGAATTTGAGTCTCTGCTGCCGGGCCACCACTACCTCCTCCATGCTATAAGATCACTACCAGCACCGGTATTGCACTGATAAGTGCCCCGAATCACCGCGGGAAGTGTGAACGTTCAAGTCTTGTTGCAAGTCACAACCTGGTCACTTCTTATAGCCAGACACGCGCTCAAAGCTGTTCATAGCTTCAGATCTTCTAGCCGTTCATTTGCTTTGCCATTTCGTATTCATACGGTTGTGAGTCTACAAAGTTCTTTCCCAATGAACACCTGAATTACTAACTTCATATCTCAAGTGACAATACCACGTCGCCTGCTTCCTATACAAAGCACTGAGACTCCCCACTCTACGCGTTGCATTATTTAAGTACACCGCAGGAGCGGGCACGATCAAAGATGGCCAAATCAACGAAAACACCCAAAGGTCAACCGACGCGCAAGCACAAGAAACGGCGTCTCTCCTACAAGGATCACTTTGCCCGTCTCATGAAGGAGGTAGTGGAAGTTGTCCCCGAAGAAGTTGCTTCTACCTCGTCCTCGCCTGCCGCATCTACTTCGACCACTCAAACTGCTCCCGCCCCCAACTACTCTAATATCCTCCTCATTGAGAAATTCCAGGATGCTCTCGACACTCGGACAGCTGTATGCCGCCGCCTCGAGATCCTTGTGCGGAGCTCAACTTTATATACGCCATCAGCACAAGCTCGCTTGATCAAGTGCTTACGGGATGACTACATCCGGGGGGACAGAACGAGGAAGGTCATTGACAATCTGCGACATTCTGATTTCATCAGTGCTACAAGCATGGCAAGTCAGGATGCAGATTTTATTACGAAAGAGGTTACGGAGAGCACGAGACTTTTTTTTGAGGGAAGTAAGGAATTGCAAGAAATAGGAGATCAAATTGCAGCACAGTTCTCATAGTATTAGTAGGTTTCCGTCTCAGGCACTATTAATGGGTCTGGGCGCTAACATTCCCTGCAGGTCACGCGTTCGGCATGTCTATGTCTCGTGCTCGTCACTTTCTTGCACTGAAGTATTGTAGCATTTATTCTACTTGCACTCGCCCGTAACCTCCTTTCTGTATGCACCAGAAACCATAATCAAGTCGCAGCGTTACGGGCCCATCGCTCTGTACGATAGCGTGCATCAAACCGAATAGCAAACCAGATCATGGGAGTACACGCCAGGCATATACTCGCAAGCAGTACGTAGGTCCATCCAGGACTTGTTGCGTTGACAATAAGGTCTATGAACGAATTAACCAAGAACTACTGAGCACTGAAGTGAATTGTAGCTTTGCCACGCAAAGCAAACGGAACCCTCTGTGAGTTAACGTGCTGAGATGGACAAATTGGCACCTATTGGTAATTGCATCGTGGTCTGCGGATATGTGTGCTGAGCGCTTGATTTTTGTTGATTGGCCTTTGACAATCTGGACAAATCAGGATCTTGCATCACCAAAATCCAAAGGATAGATGCTGGCAAGCGCCTGTCACCACGCCGAGGTCCCGGGAACAGATCCATCACGCTCCTTCCCGGCGGATGTTAAGGAGGTGAGGGTCGTAGATCCTAATACCTAGTACCCGAGCAAAAGCGACACCTTGTTGGCATCATGTTTATTTCCAACCTAGGTCTCAGCGGGGCGCCGACTTTGAGTTACGAATATGAGTATGGCAGCGTACAACTGTTACTTGACCATAAGGCCTTCCGAGTCCGACTGCCAACTTGAACTGCCAGTTTCACGTTGAGCTCAATCCCATGACTAAGCACACGTGTTATGTAAAAGGTTTTGAAGAGGTTCTTAAAAACTGAGCTAATTTGCACTTGTACCAGGTATTGATACTGTAGTGGCGACTCAGTACTGAGTCCTGGATTTCGTTTCTCCTGCAATCATGCATATGTGTCTCTTACCCACAAAAATTCTACTGCACATATTCGCTATTTATAAAGACAGCAAACTGAGCTCCTGTGCTACACTTGCTGTTCTTGCAGGAACCTGTAGGAAATTCAAGGAGCCTGCACTTGATACCCTTTGGAGAGACATCACTGGTTTTAAGCCATTCATCTCATGCCTGCCTGGTTGTGTCACTAAAAAAAAGCGAGGAAAGTTGGTGAGCAAAACATCTATCAAAAAGTCTACATGACATCGAATGCTCAAATTTTCCAATAGACAATGTGAAGACCTCTCTCTGGTGGAGAGTGGAGGCTTGTCCATCAATATACACGGCGTATTCGCTCCTTCACAGTCTTCGACATTGAGCTAGATATGATAGACAATCAGTTCCTACAGGCACTTCATCGCCATTATCAACACCACTCTTACCGAACCTTCGTAGTTTGATTTGGCACGTCGTCCGAGAACGGTTCCATCCGCTGTGTGCCCTCCTTGGGTCAACTGTCACGTTCTTGAAGCTGGGCAATATGTCGCCCTCATCGTTAGCTTTGTTAACTTTCCTCGGAGCTCGGTGTCCATCTCTTCGGGAACTCACCTGTGATTTATATGACAATGATACTGAAGAACGTCTAGACGCAATTTGTGAAGCTCTACATGGCTTGCGAGGGCTTTACCGTCTTAACGCAGGGTACATTACCTTGCGAGAGCTTCTTCGCTTGGCTTCTTTACCGTCGTTGAAGTTTCTGAACTTCGGCGTGGAGGAGGAATACGATTACGAGGAGGAGGAGGAACGCTACCCCACTCCAATAATTTTCTCCCAACTCGATCAAGTGCATATTATTGCGTTGTCAATTTTCTGCCTCAATCAATGTCTCACAAGTGTCCGTTTCCGCTGTGTCGATCAGTGTCCATTGATTGCAGCGATTTAGATGGTACAAAACTCCTGTATGATCCACTGGACATTCCAGGTCTCATTATTTCCCTCTCGGAGTGCTTCTCTCCTGCTCTTGAGCAACTTCATTTCCACTTCGAGTTCGAGTTCTTCGCCTTTACCGATGAACGCATACTTGCTGATCCAAGCTTTGCACTTGGATTCGACGCGGTTGCCCCATTGTTGCCGTTTATTCGCTTGACAAACTTACGGCTCGATTGGATATGCACTTCGGCCATCGATGACGCCTCACTCAAAACAATTGCACAATCCTGGCCTCAGCTCGAGACCTTCTTGTTTGGAAGTGCAGCTCGTTGGGTGATGCCACCATCTCTCACCTTTATAGGACTCGTCCACCTCATACATCATTGTCGGCGCTTGCATACAATTGGAATGTCCTTTTGCGCATGTCAAGTTGACATCAACAACGAGCCGTTCTCTCAAACCATTCCAAACGTGAATATCACCGAACTTTCTGTGGGGATGTCTCCAATCGTCGATCCCATCGCTGTTGCCAGCCAACTGCGTAGATTCCTGCCCAAGTTGACTCATGTGAACTCCTCCCTCGACTGGCTTGATGATGACATCCCCACGCCGCCGCTATTTGAACATCTTGAGGAAGGGTGGGACAGGGTGAATGTGTTACTGGAGGATTGACTATTACCAGCACGATGGTACTGTGGCTTTACAGTTTGTAAATGATATCATGACTTAACGTTGATCCGAAGAAACCAACATCTTATTGCCATCATGTGTGAGGCGCCCGCAACCCCAAGCTAGTCTCTCTGACAAACACAGAACCCAAATCTCCGGGGGATTTTTCACATGCATAGCGTTACACTTAGAGATATTTTCATGGGTACCCTTGCATGATATCCTCTGTTCTTCATCTAATCCGCATTATCATGCATCTCTTGAAGTGTTGCAGTCATAGTCTAAAATGACTGCTGGCTAGTAGCGGGGTTGCAGATTCTGTTGTATAGAGAACCAAGTCTCCTGTTCGGTTTCATCGACACAGGTCTGCAAGGCCTTCGCAATAAACTTTCCACTAGATGTATTGATGGTATGATACAGCACAGATTTGTGTACGTAAGATGATAGCATAGAGAGCAAAGGAGAGACTAATGTATGTAAAGTATATTCCTGTGGTTGAAGACGGGTCATATGATACAATGGAAGCAGGAGCGAGACACAGGGAGCTGCAGGATTAGTAGATTGTCCAGATAGGATACACTACTTGGTTTTCAAAAATAGCTTTCCCGCAACTAGGATTGCAACATCCTGCCGACGTAACGTGTGAGAGCGAGCAGGTGTTGTCAAGTAAGGATAGCAAACGTACGATGATAAAAGTCGCCAAGTTTAGATGCCTAACGTGAGGTTGGGCGCCATTCTCGGCAACTTCGACGGCTTCCTGCATGTTCACATCATTGGGATGCTGTTCTTCGGGGAGGTCGGGCTACGTATGAGAACTGAATAAGGCTACAAGATGACAATAAGAAAACACGTACAAAGTTGAGAATCACCGGTTCAGCACCATCGTCCTCTTCAACAATGTCATACAGGCTGCTGGAATGATCATTCATAGCGTGCTTCGCGACAAGAAGTGTCAAAAATAGCACTGAAATGATGTTCACGGTATCGCTCACCATGATCTCACGCTGGCTTGGTTTGACCCTCGGGTAAGGGTGGAAACGAAGTAAATGTGATGTCCTGTAGCTCGGCAATCTCATATCGCTCATCGAATACTGGCTTATCACGAGTGAAGATGAAGGGAAAGGAGTGTCGTTTGTCCTGCGTGAAGGCATTTGGGGTTAAATAGCAGCGGAGGTTCAATGGAACGAAAGCGAAAAAAAATTGGGGCAGACATTAGTCTAGCTTGAGTCTAGGTTCTAGAACCCCGATTTCACAATCCCGACAGGGCTGAGATAGTGCCAAATACCTGGTGGGCGTCTGTCTCAGCGTGACACTTGTGGATCGGCAAGTGTTGGTACAACATTTGCTTCCGTGGAACCAATCCTCTAACTCCATCTTCGTGGGCGACCTCAATCCAGAAGCATCCATAGCACTAAACGAGAGGCATAAGACAGCGCAGGAGGAACAGCATGACTATGATTGGACACCAGGTTGGTCCATCAAAGCTATGGACAGTCGTTGCAGGACCTTCACGATACACACCAGACCTCGATGTGTTCAATCGAGCCTTGTGCGCTGCCCAGAGCATCACAATAATGTTGTGCGAGCCAGACGCGTCCCTGGCTGGAAAAGAAGTATCAGTATATACGAGACATAAGTGCGTGGACTCTCTTATGGAGAGCTCTGTTGTACGGGACAAAATATATCTGTGACGTGCTAATCAACCATCCTGATCATGAGCGATCGTATCCCCTTAACATGCCAGAAAAAAACACCCAATGCCAAGTTACTCGTCGTCAGCGAAGACAGCGTGACAGTATGTGACACATTGCGTGACCCAAAAAGGGGCATCAAAGCTACTTTGCGCACGAGCCAGGCAAGTTTCCAACCACCATCATGAAACATGAACACGACTCAACAGCGTGCTCTCAAGCTCCCGAGATGTGTCAAGCATTGATATGAGTCAAGATAGTCACCATGGCTGCATCAAGATCGTCCCCCCCAAGTCTCAACTGGCGCAATCGCCTCCATCAACATCGACAAGTGGCAGCTAATGCCAGCATTGATATACCCCAGAAACAAAATATGGTTGGAGTGAACAAGACACTCACCAGTGACTATGAGTCGGCTCAGTGCCCCCCTACACGCGTCGTAAGCTGTTTCAAATTCTCCACAAATTTCCGCGCATCAAGACGCGAAAAATGTCGAACCGAATGATCCAACCTAAGAAGAAAATGCCATCAAGCTGCATAAACCATGAAGACCTCCAGCTCCGTTGCTGACGAAAAAACTGGCATTTTTCACCGTCGCAGTATGCAGTTCTTGCCATTATCGACGCAGTTGGCAATGTCGAGCTGTGACCGATCTAACTTGAAGTGCGACCAAGCATCTTGCGTGCCCTCGTGAGGGGCACAATATGTCGTAGGCGACTCTGATCTGCAAGGGTCCGTGGGTGCGTCAAGTGGTATCGAAGCCGCTCGTGTCGTTCTTCAAGATCAGCAATTCAAGAAATTTGGTCGCAAGGAGCCCTCTTGCGTTAGCTTGAGTGGTTAAAGCTGAGCCAGATTTTGCGTTGCGGGGATGACAGTGGTTTCGTGAATGGTTCCGTGTTAGGTCCACAAGCTTGAAAACGAAGTGGCTCTGGACCCAGGGTGGACCGTGCACACAACTCCGCTCGCCAATTCTAGCCACAGTTTCTGCAGCTCCCTAGCCGATTATACTGGTCTCAGAAGTCTAAGTATTGATTTATTTTATCGGAATTGTTGTCTGGGACCACACCACTTACGCATGCATGAAAGCTCTGGAAGAGGACGACTCTATCTGAGAACAGTTCACTACATTGGAAAGGCGATGGTTCAGCGTTGCACCTGGAGTCTCTGTCTTGGACAAGTCGGACCTCTTAGAGTCCTACATACTTCTCTTACTCACGATACGTCCAGCAATTTCAACTTGCGTCTGGGCTTGAAATCCCACTGTCCTGATCTCGCTATGGAACTACCGAAGTATCGCTGCTCACTGCTAATGGGCAAGTCGCCCTTCCCTCTGTACGGTGCTCGCTGAGTTTTTTTTCAGGACGATTCCATATGGCATTCGTCCTCAAGCTTTTGGTCTATATTCTGTCACATCGCAATTCCTACGCGGTGAATTCATGCTACGCAAATAATACCTACATGAGCTGTCATCGCAAGTCACTGCCATATCTCCTACACAGCGCCAAGAAATAGAGGCGAGCAAGGTTCATCGGCACGACATCTGAACGCCAGGACAGCTTACCTGCATGCTAGACGACCTTGTAATTTTTTTTGTCATCTTCCTCACTGTCTGCAGTGTCTGATCTTTTGGTGCCAGGCGACTTGGGACTTGACGCTTTATTCTGTGTATTGCGAAGTTGTACAAGTCAGTGCTCTATCTGTTTTTCGTACTCGACGACCTTTGCTGATGAATCGTGGGTCGCAGCAATCAGTTGCAAAACATTTAAAGACCCACGTGATAGCGAATGCTCAAATTTTCCAATAGACAAAGGCCCCCGGAAGCTCCCTATGATGTTCAGCCGTCAAGATCCTCAAAAATGGCCTCAAACAAGCACGCCGGGGCTTTGCAAAGACCTCTTTCTGATGGAAAGTCGATTGAATATACACGCCGCATCCGTTCCTTCATGGCCTTCTACGCTAAGCTAGTCATGATTAACGATTGGTTCCTATAAGCGCTTATTTCTGCGCTATTACCCACATCGCTCTTGCCGAACCTCTCACCTATTACATTCTTGGAATTGGGATACATATCAGCACCCATCTCGTTAGCCAATTCTACTTTGTTGGCCTCTCTTGGAGTTCAGACGGACGTCTATGTGACTTGCGGGAGCTTTTCCGCCTTAACGCATGGGTCTTTAATCCACGAGAGCTTCTTCGCTTGGCTTCTTTCCCATCGTTGAAGTCTCTGCACTTCTACCTGAAGCCGTACCGCGAGAACAAGACCCAATCCAATCCTACTCCAACAAAATTTCCCAACTCGATGAGGTGTACATCGTTGCACCATCACTTTCTACCCTTAATTACTGTCTTACAAAAGTTCGAGCACCTGACTTTGGCGCGGTCGCCCCGTTACTGTCGTTTAGTCGCTTGACGCATCGACAGCTCGGCTGCATATGCACCTCGGACATCGATAATGCTTCGCTCAAGACGATGGCGCAATCCTAGCCTCAGCTGGAGAATTTTGGGATTGGAAGTGCGGGTCGCTATCCAGTCATCCTATCTTTCACCTTCGTGGGACTCTCTTATCTTATATATCATTTCCCCCTCCTGCACACTATTGACATGTCACTTTGCGTATATGAAGTCAACATCAACAGCGAGCCGTTCCCTACAACCACTCTCAACGAGGGGATCACCAGACTCTTGGTGAACATGTCTCCAGTCGTCGGTCCCATCGCCGTGATCCGTCGACTGCACAGTTTGATGCCCAAATTAACTTACGTGACCTTCTTCGCTAAGTTTGATGTTGACCTCTCCTTACCGCCGCCACTCTGAACATTTCAAGGATAGATGGAGTAGGGTGAATACGTTTCTAAGAGGTTGATGAATATCAGCACAACGGCACTGTGACCTTATAGTCTATCGATATTATTACTTGACGGACACAGAACTCGAGTCTGAGGGATATTTCCATGCATGGTGTTACACTATTAGTACTGTTAGTACTTCCTGCTGGTCTAGACTTTTGTATAGATAGCTTTTTCATGGCATCTTCAGTCCCCTGTCGGTGCTCTACATCCTCCGTCGCCATCTAGTCCGTATCATGCACCTCTGTAAGTGCTGCAGCCATGGGTCTGTACAACCCATGCTCTGTGCCGAGTCCGTAAGTAAACGTCATGCGCTCAAGGATGGAAGGGCCATCGTCAGGGTCTAGTTCGAGCTATGTGTGCAATGAATAAAGGACATCACCATTAAATTGTAGTATGAAAACATCACGCACCAGCGAAATTATATCATCCAGTAAGTGGGCTTGCCCCACCACCATGCCGTTCAGCCCGACATGGCCCGTGTGGACGATGTGCACATGAAAGTGATCTGTGTAATGGATTAAATCGATCCTTTGATCATCGAATAACTACTCACAATAACTCGGCTGATAATGAACGTACATCCTGACACCACCACGGCCGATACCCCACTTATCCTGCACAACTTTCCAAGCATCTCTCCTGAGGGTCTTGAGCATGCCCAAGTGTGGCTTCTTGCGGAGATCGCGTATGCAGTGCACATCAGAGTGCGTATAGAGTGCGAGGAGGTAGAGGGCGGAGACATTGGTCGTGTCCCATTTCATGTCAGGAAGGACGAGGAAGTCCGGAGAGGCATTCAGGATATTGGATGCTTCGGCGGTACCTACGAGGATGTCCTGGACCCTGAGGATAGAGTCAGCCTGTGGGCTGCGACTGGGACAAGGAATACCATTGTGTGCGTGCGGGGTCGAAGGCGAGGATGTATGGTTTGACGATGGACCGGTAGAGAGCGGGGGTCTCGTGCACCATGAGAACGTCCTGCTTTGTATACTAGCGCATGGCCATCGGCGTGAATGATGACGAAGAAATGGACAAGACGGACCTTGCGGATGTGGACGTCGGTGGCGGGGAAGATGACATAGACCTTCATGTCAGGGAAATCATCGCGCTTGTGAAGCCATGCAAAGAACCACGAGTACTGAATGGAAATGGACAGATAACTATCAGCGTTTTGTTGAGAGGAAAGTGATTGGACACACAATATCAGTACTTCCAATCTGCTTGATAGACTCGAGAATGCCGGATGAGAGCTGGGAAGCGACAGTAGATGACAGGGCCGTGCGCTCGAAGCGAAGGATGGCACGAATCAGCTCAGAGGGTGCCGATGGGGAGGGCAGTGTGCCCAGGACGGCGAGTGTATGAGCGAGCGCGTCTAAGTTGTCGTTATTGGCATTGTTGTTAGCATCATGACAATACTATACGTACTTTCATCCAGAACGCGGTCAAACACGAACTCTTTCAGGTCAATCACGTTTGCCATGGTAGTTGTGATCGAGATTCAAAATTATCAAGAATTACGAAAATGGACAATTCAACGAACCAGTGGGCCCTCATCAGATGAAACAGGACTTCGACGCTCACTGCTGGTAAGAGCAGGAGAGCCTGTTGCTTAAAACATTTTTGCTAGGTGCTACTTGTCCCAGCAACCATCACTTTCTACCACAATATCCTGTTCATGACTTATCATGTCTTCGAGACTTTCGCGTACAATCACCAGTCCGTCAAGCCATACGCGCCCAGCGACTTTTAGATTCGCGCGCGAGGCAGCGGAGGTCCTCATCGATGAATATTTGAACATACATCCAAAGATCTGTGAGACATGCATGTTAGTAAGTCGCAATATCACCAAGATATACGGACATCGGAAGATGTGTGGAAGGTTGGCGATATGGTTACATCGTCGTCCACTTTTCCGGCCAATATTTGAGGGAGATGTTCTCAAGCTCGAGTATCAGCGTACGTTGCCATCTCGTCCAAAATGATCGAACGCTTCATGATTTATTCGAGATAATCGAAGTCCCACCAGGGCCAGCGAAACTACATAGAATTTTGATTTTAATTTATGTAAGCGATGGAACAATGTGCCATGAATACGACAGGGCTCTGCTGACTAAGCTATGCAGTTTAGTCTTCAAGGCTTCAAGCTTCAAGCTCAAATATTTGTCGTAGCACCATCATTCATGCACATGGTTTATCACGTATTCGAAACGTTCGTTCTTGGCCTTGATGTAAGCACAAGCCTGATGCGCTCATTCAAACAGTTCGCAAAATTCCCGTGCAAGCCTGAGGTTGTGGAAGTCTTCATCTCCAGACTCCGAGCACCCTGCCGTCTCCGACTCCGAGTTCCTCAGGTTAGATGCTCGTCACATCACATCCCCAAGTTCGTTGGTGATGTAGCGTAAAATGTCATCATCCGTCGATGAACATGAACGACTATACAAAGACTTTTGTGCGACATGCCTGACATCTGAATGCATTGCAAATATCTGGTAGAGGTCGCGAAGTCACTAAGAAACGGAAGCCACCTGGATGAAAGTGGCGACGCCGATACTCGAGAACATCTCCTTCAGACAACGTCTTCTTCAAATATCGGCTGGAACAGTGGACCACGACAAAAAGTGCATCCAATGCTTCGATTATGATCAAGATGGGTCCCGGACTCCCGCCGGCATCATCGCCTCTGACTTGGGAGGTTTCACAATTAACTCGTACCGCTGTTGGAGGACGTCTGGTATGACTCTCAAGGAAGCAATCCTTGTAACAATACCAGACAGCGCCTTTCGCATTGTTCTCGTCACGATCAGTAAGATCTCTCATGTTATCCACAGATCACGGTCCTTCAACCTGCTCGTTTTCGCACTACCACACCCGGGACCAAATTCAAATGTTCTCGTGCTAACCCATTCTGTGTACCTCGATCTAAACTTACCTTCTAGACAGTACCGCAGTATATATCCAGGAGCTGAGTGTTTTTCAGATGGGGACATCTATAAGTTTTGTAAATGATCGTGCAACTATATGATCCCCCGTTTTATCTCCCGGTGCACAGAATAGCCTTGGAAGCGGCAAAGATCAACTTGGGGCCTGAAGTTATTATAAGCTGTGGAAAATTACAGTAGTTGGTCAGATGATGTACGCTTATCTTGACACCAGGGGCGAGCATGATTTTGTAACCCTTCATCGACGTGCTCATTTCTGACACACAGCTCGCATATCACTGGTCCTTGTCCGATTTTTACCCTACCTGATTGAGGTTGATATAGATATTCTCATGGTTGACATCGCAACCGATCCTCTAGCCCCTGCTAGTATCAGTGACGGCCCGGTTCATTCTTCTATCATAACTTAAAGGCTCGGTCTGTGTGGTCACCAGTGGTCACCATGGGTGTCCACTTATACATCTTCCGCAGACCGATACAAACCCAGAGCCGGTGAGGTCTACGTCAGACAGTACTTAACAATGACCTCCCCGAAAGTTTGGTTCAGTTAATTCATTTCTATCACTGAGTAGGAAACGAAGCTGACAACCTTCTCCGCATTCAGTCACTGGTGCATCGGCTGGTCTGGGGCGAGAGGTTGTCAAATACGCTTTGAGCAGAGGAGACAACGTATTTGCCACCCTGCGCAAACCATCGATGTTAGAAGACCTCACTACTAAATATCCCTCTTCTCGCCTCGTTACTTTCCCGCTCGACGTAACAGACACGCCCTCGATTACCGCGGCGTTCGATCAGGCCATCTTGCACTTCAATCGTGTCGACGTCGTGCTGAACAATGCAGGATACTATATAGTATCGGAAGCTGAAGGCCTGCCGCACAAGGCCGCACGAGAGATGTTTGATGTGTTGCTCTGGGGTGCGGAGAATGTCATGCGTGAAGCCATTCGATGCTTCAGGGATGTGAACCATCCCATGGGAGGGCGAATATTGAATATTTCTTCCCGGAATGCCTTTATTCCACAGGTTGGCACTGTACATTATGCTGCAGCGTGAGTTCATGTATTCTGCACAATTTACCTCGCAGGCTGACATCCGAATGATAGCAAAGCTGGTAGGTAGGCTCTCAACTTCGTATCAAAGATCTGAAGGTCAACCGAGTGTCGTCAGCGTTGGAATGTTTAACGGAAGGGTATATCGGCGAACTTGACCCAGAGTGGCAGATCAAAGTAGGTCGTTTGTATCACCCAGTTTTGGAATATAACATAATTTACCTCGCCAAAAGATCACTCTCATTGAGCCTGGCCTTTTTCGAACATCGATGATTCAAAGCCATGCGACAGAACCCATTCACCCTGCTTATGAATCAAACCCATCCCTCCCAACCCGCAAATACCGAGCGCTCTATCCTGACATCGAGGACACGCATTTTGATGGCGATCCAGCCAAGTTTGCAGAAGTGGCCTACGAGTTGTCTCGTTTGGATGATCCCCCAATACGCCTCCCTTTACATAGGGTCGCATTGGAATCTGCGAGAAAGAAGGGGAAATCGTTGCTCGAAACTGCCGAAATTTGGTCCAGTTGGTCAGACGATGTGTACTTGCCTAAATGAATGAAAATCGGTCATATATTGCGGGTAGGTACCATGTTTCGGGACATTGATTTCAAGTATGCATACACTGTTAAGAATGCTTTAGAATACACAGTATCTCACATATCTTTAAACAGAAGTTCTGAGGCGCCTGATTAGTATCGATGTGCCCTCATACACCGAGGGACAGAACCAACAATCTGCGGCAGCCCTGATTTCCATCGGTAATGCAGCACAAAATCAATCGGATCAGAATCTATCAGCATGAAATGAATCAAATCGCAGCACAGTTCTCAGATGGGGTTTCCTCGCAAGTTTCTCGGCACTCTGCATGCAGTCACGCGTTTGCATGTTTGTATGCTCAAGGCGATAACACGGTTCCTTGTAGCCGGACTTTAGCGTAGATTCTACTTGCATGTTTCCCTGACTTCCCTTCTGTACGACTGGCAAAGACACCAAATCAAGCGAGCAGTAATTGCGGACCCTCGCTTTGCACGACAGCGTGGACCAATCCAAATAGCAAGCCAGATCATGGGAGAGCACGCCAGGAATATTCCTGCAAGCAGTACATAGGTCCAACCAGGACCTATCTGCATTGACATCAAGTCTATGACCCGAGACCATCAAAGCACCCAGGAAACAGCTGGACCAAATTATTCTAAAACGAAGTGATCAAGACTGTTGATAAATCAAGCGATAGTGAAACTTACACATGCGGTAATGGAAGAACTCTGTGACGGTAGTAGATCAATGAGTAATGTCTGCACGGCGTTCATAATAGCGACGACTGTATAACCGACTGTTGATCCTCATAACTAAGGGTGTGGGGAGAAGGAAAGGAAAAGACGTACAGATAACTTGCAGGATCAGAGGAACAGCGATATTCGTCTCTCGCTGAAGCGACCACCCATAACCAGCGCATGTCAAGACAAAAATGGCGGTGAATAAGGGTACCATCCTTAGCCTGGCTCTTTCTGCTGGGAAATTCTCCTCCCTGGTCACGTCCTCGGGGAGTGTGCGCTTCTCAGGATCTTCTTCAGCCTTCTTCACGAGCCTAGTCTTGGTTCTTTGAAAATCAGCGTCTAGCATTCTGCCGGATGAAACAGTGCCAATGGTCATCCCCCCACCAATCGCTAAGAAACACAATCCTATATCTATTTCGTTCAGGAACGGGTACTTGGCTGCGAATATTGTGGATATCGTCGTATTCACCGCATAGAAGACGGCGTATAGAATTGCATTGAATAAGAGAAGATTCAGAACGTCCAGATAGAAAAAGAGGCGTAGCGGATTTTTCAGTGTGGGCTTGGGAGGCTTTTGGGCATCATGGTCCACACGCCCTTTCCCAACAAGTGGCATGAGGGGACGATAGAAAGGCGATGGTATCACACTGCCATCACCCACCAGTCGACGGAGTGTTTCAGGTAGGAAACTAGAATGATATGAATGAAGTCAAAGAAACGCTATAGAAAATTGATTGCGTACACGAGCATGAGAGCGAAACATGCAGCAGACATAATGCATAGAAACCAGAAGATAGATCTGTAACCCATTTAGCTACATTTAATGTACTGGATAAGAACTGACCTCCATCCGAGCTTATCTGCAAGGACACCACCAATAACAGGTCCCAGAGCAGGTCCAACCTACGCGGATATTAGAGTGCATAGTGCAACAAAAGCAACACGGTACGTACTTGTGGTCCCAAGGTAAATATGCCGAAAAAGCCCCCGCGTTCTGCAGGGGTGCCTATATCTCCAATTACCCCAGCGCCTACAGCTCCGGTAAGATGACAAGTTATAACGACAAAGTTCACGCATACCAAGTGCGACTGTACTGGCAGAACCAGCGGCCTGGATGCATCGCAGGAGCATTAGTAACCAGTACGCTGATGTCGGGACCAAAGCCAAGCCGACGCAAGATAAACACAGGACAAAGAGACAAGCAAGAAGAATGGGACGTCGCCCCATGCTGTCCGCCATGGTCCCCCAGAACATAGGAGCTAATATGATTTAGAGGCAATCCTTCCTCCGACAGACGTTTGAGTCATTTGCTTACAGATGCCTTGAAGGACCATGTAAACGGTGACACTCAGATTGATTGATTCTATAGACGTGTGGAAAGCTGAAGCGATTGTCGGTATTGCAGGAAAGTACACATTTGCAGTGAGCGGGCTAGAGAGGTGTTCAGAATGTTCCTCTGGTCTACATGCGGATGAAAATACTGCACCTAAATAATGCAGCCAAAGAGGCGACCATTACAATGAACCATTTTTCTCGGCGAGTATATATGCTATATGGCTTTTCTGTAGCCTGTCCGCCGCCCTTCTGTTCCTTGAGTCCATGTGCCACAGCATCTTCAGTCTTGGGAGAAGTTACTGAGTTGTGATGAGTTTGTCCAGCATGAGCCATGATCCATACGCCAATCACCTCGCTAGATCTATGGCAAACTCGAGGCCTTCAGGTCGGAATGATAAAGGGACTCCCTGACTTACCAAGGCCGCCCACTATTTATAACTAAAGGATGTCACGGGTACGTACTATCTCGAGTACTGAACATGACTCGATGAGCAGTTTGTTGCTAAATTCGATCCACCAACAGCTCCGTCTTTGGCAAGCACGAGGTTGGGATGATAAAGGGTTTATATAGATAGCGCTCACTATGATAGGATGCATGATGCTGCACATGACACCGCACCAAACTTTGAGGTAAAATAATGGTCCCGCGAGATTCAGAATAAGAAACTTGATGTGCATGACTTGTGTGTTGGTCAGCAATATTGACAGCAATATGTAAGTTACGGCAAATACATACCCATTGTGTTGTCCGGCATCGATGACGATTGCAGCGGCAGAGGATGCAAGGTAAAGTGACACAGTCAACATGACAAGTCACTTTGTGTCTCGCGTGTGTCTTTCTCACCTTGTGGCATGTCGACGCCAGACGCCCAGTTCACATTCAAACGTCAGATATATCTGCGACTCCGCCAGCACGGGTGCCAGCCCATTAAACCCTGCAGGCCGATATCAGCGACACAAGGACCTTCGGAGCGAGTAAGGCTCTGCAATTCGGCTTTGGAGTCCACGGGAGACGACTCGCTACTAACTATGTTGGCTCACTTGCACCACCAGCGCTTGTAACAGCGACGAGACGGAATTTTCCAGGCTCAGATAATGGTGCCCCAAAAGTGTGGTTAGCCAGATCTCGCTGAAGATGTGGAGGTGGCCGTGACATCATGCACTCCTCGTGAACCACCTGTCCTATGCAGGGCCCAAGGGATCGAAGATTCGACAAGGCAGAAGTCTTGGCCTCAAAACGCAGTCAGCAAGAGAAATGCCATGAGACTCGGCCCGAGTCTCATGGCAGAGTCCGAGAGCGTCATTTCGGGCCAGACGTAGATGTCACTTGTCATTCTTTGACAGGGCAAAGATAGGCGGAAGTAGCAACCATCTCGACAGGGGTGGCTCGACTTGTCCGTGGTAGAATAACTTGAAGCCTTGCTGGTTACGAGGCTGTATTTGATCGACAATAAAGCATCATCGTTGTCTAAGAGTGGGAATGACAACACCATTGACCGTACTGTCCAGTGGGAAAGATACATCGTCGCTGTTAAATTCTCCAGTCCGAGGACAATTGTCACCAGCTATGGCAATACCGTAATGTGGTGTCTCCAACCTCACACAGCATTTTTTTTAATGTCGAAACAGCTGTCCCTCGGATTCCCTCAGAGCAGAGGCAGGAATTGTGGCGGCAACCTCAGATGGCCACGATTTCACGATTGGGGTTGCTATAGTGCCGACGAGTGCTCGGCCGGCGACTTTTGCATGTACAATCACAGATGGAGGAAACTGTTGGAGTAGCGAAAACTCAATAGCGAAGCTATCGAGAAAAGAAGCAGACAGTATGGGTACAATAATTTAGCGTATCATTTACAAGACACAAAAGTACATACACCAACCACGATGAAATTTCAATCCGCGTCAGCAATCAGGCCACCTCTTCCCCGCCTAAGCCTGTCTTCTAAACCACCCACGCCGCCAAATACCTTCTTCTGTTCTTGCCCCAAGAAGCTACCCATGCCCTTTGACTTTGCGCGGGCCTGCTCTTCCGCTTCCATGTCAGCCTTCTCTTTCTCAAGCAGTGCCATCAGTCGCTGCTGCCGCTCTACCTCCATGCTTGCGGCACCCTGACTGCATGGCAGCCAGTTTTGCGGCACGGTCTTCCGCAGCATTGAATGGCTGCTTCCTGGCGGAAGGTCCGGGCCGTGAATCAAATCTCGGAGGGCTATAGCGTGAGCGCTTCGGGTATGTGTTATGATGAGGGGGACTAGGACTGCGTCTCCGTTTCCTATCATCTTCCGCACGCCTGCCACTACGCTCGATGCTCCTGCGGCGCTCATAGCCATTGTCGTCTGATTCGTCCGAGCGGGGCCAAGTTCGGACGCCGTCGGCAAGAGAGTCACGACCTCTGCGGTAGCCAGGAGAGCGGCTTCTGCTTCGTCTCCGATAGTGGCGGTCATCGTCAGCATCATACCGACGATCGCTTCTCTTGTGTTCCGCTGCAGGACTTCTTGACCTTGAGCGGTCCAATCGTTCCCTGGCATGGCGTTCTTTCTTTTCCTTCTTCTCTCGCTTCTTGTCTTTCTTGTCTTTCTTCGGCTTTATACCATTCCGTTCCTGCATTTCACGAAGACGGAGGGGGTTAGACATGAGTGCCTGGTATGCAGCCTGTTCTTGCTGCTTGATAGCGAGCAACGGGTCTTCACGAATCTTTGCGGCAATGTCTCGAGCATTGTTAGCATTCTGAATGGCGATAAAGTTCTTGTGAGAGGCGCCAAGCTACAAAAGTCACTTGTTAATCCGTAAATGAAAGCCGTAGAGAGATCAAAGCACACCTGCGCGTTCTCATCGGCAGTCAAGATCTTGTCAACCCGCTTTTTACCCAGAAGATAGTCCTCTAAATCGTTTGCGTTCTGATTACTTCCGGTCGCAGGTGTCGCATACATCCATTCTAGCTTCTCAGTCTTTCTCTTTCCCGTTTGCTCTTCTTGTAAACGTTGAAGTTCTTGCAGTTGCCTTTCCTCCTCCTTCTCTTTGCGCAGCTGGTCAAGTTTCTTCTTTTCCTCGAGCTATGAAACAAAATCAGCCAACGATAATCTCACAGGCGTTAATGAGCACTCACAGCCTTCTTCTCTTCGAGCCAGACCCGCTCCTGATTCTTAAGCAGGAGCGGGTGCCAAGACTTCTTCATGTTCAAGTCTCCACCACCCATCTTGGCTACCTTGTCTTAATACGAGGTTAAAGGAAAGGTGTTCGATGGCGATGAGCAAAGGACCGAATGGATTAGGTCCGACGTTGGTTAGACTCCAAGAGCATTGACCGTGCCTACAATGCCTTTATTTGTAGTTGTTTGGGTACACTGCCTATTCTTCTCAGTTGCTGTTTGTGGCACGCAGCAATATGAGCCCCATACCACAAGGTCCACAACCATAAAAGCCTGCTTTTCCAGCCATGCCTGACGTGTACGAGTCGGCGGAGTCGGATGCCTTGAATGACACCTCGAACGGTGCAGCGCAACCTGTGTATGTATACTAAAGTTATACGTATGCTGGTCTGCTCATGTATTGCTTGATATCTGTAGCCCCACGCGATCCATTTATGCGTTAACCCGCAAAGAAATAACACGTGGAATTGCGAATCGCTTTGTGCACTCGCACACGTACATATTTCTCTACTTGTCCATGGCAGCCCTGTCCGTGACAACCGTCGTGCTCAGTCTGTCTGATGGATGTCCAGGGTTGTCGTTTTATATATTGGAAATCATAATTAACACGAGCATGATCCTGGAGGTCGGTGTGCGTTTTGTTGCGTTTGGTCGGGTGCGTATCTGTTTATCTTGGATTTTAGTTGCCGAGGTGACTTGATACGAGTAGCAATTCTGGAGATCACCGTTTAATGTGTTGGATCTTATACTCACATTGTTCTGTGCGGTCACTTTGTTGGTAATAACATTTGCGGGGTGTGGAGCGGGGAGTAAGGAAGAAGAGTTGTTGGACACTCTACTGCTTATTGCACGTAATGTCCTGCAATTTGGTCGTCTCGCAGCGGTCATGCGACAGTGTGTTTCAAATCTTCAGTTTACGTGTTGCATATTAACCTCGAAGGCAGGTCCGGCCAGTCGATATTCTCCAGGCCAAAACCAATCGATATCACCGCAATCAGGAGAGCAGGCTATACTAGCCTCGACTATGATTTGGAGGATGACAATCAAGATGATGATCCAGAACTGGGCCAACCATTGGTACAAGATGCAGTATTATTTGATGCACAAGACGACGAGCTACCCGCTCGCATGTCAGATATGCCACGGGCCGCGCAAGCTGTGCACGACCGTGATGACGAGGATGTCTGGGCGGAGTTGGGTTGAGGCGAGGGATGGTCCACAGCCTAAGTTATACATTCCATTTCTGTTTCTGCAACGCACTCTACTCAGATGACCTTGCCATTAATTCTATCCTCACCAGTTACAAGCGGTTACAGGCTGAATTAACTGTCGGCACGGATCATTCCGGTTGGTGCTACCTAGCGATCTGAGGTTCGACTTATATTGGCTATCAGACACGTTGTAAACTTCCATCCACTTGCCATGTTAGTTATCATGAGTACTCACGCCTCATCTTCTTCATTGTGGACGTTAGGCTTACTCCTTCGTGCTTCGTATGTACACCTGTTGAACATTCTAACGCTCATTATAATTTAGATGACCAGATATCGGGACCGCGGTAAGTCGCTCGAAGCGCTGACTAACATGTGGTGGGGGCCGACAGACGTTCAACCTGTGACTTCATTCCACTTCCCAGGGTTAATTATTTCATGAACTTGGTTGCCACCTTCTCACAGGTCCAGGTACATATACCCTCGTACACTACATCAAGTCAAATTTGAGGTTATACTACCATGGGACCACGTCATTCGCTGAATCGATTTCAGTGCGGGCTAAGAGACAAATTGACCCTGTGATCCTTGAACTGGTTTAATTTTTCTCAGAGTCCCTACACATGATGACTGATACCGAAGTTTTTGCCAAGCTTCCTTCTTCTGTGTTACGGGCACTAGTCTATGTGCAACTATCGCCCAGCAGAATTGCCGGCGGATTATCTGAACGTAACATGACATCGATGTCATCTCTGAGAACCTGAGAGACACTTTGCAACACACATGATCGTGTGACATTTTGTGACATGATGTTCTTTACGTATTTGCTTGAAGTCAAATTGTCCGTTTGTGTCCGCTTGTCCGACAAATATTACACGGTATCTACGGGAATCAAACGTTTTGATTGCTTGCTTGGCTGCTGGCCTTTCCTTTCCTTCATTCATCTGCTCCTGCAGGCACTTTAAAGCAGCAGTGTATCACTGAGATCAATGTCCTCCGTCCTTTTCAATTGAAGTCTGCTTGTATTCTAACAATCAAGATTATTACCCCTCAGGACGGACCCGCTGTATAATTTATACGCTGCCGGGGCATAAGCCCTCACACTCTTTTACTCCTCGTCATGTCTTCCGCCAGACATTGGTTTTCAAAACGTGTCACAACTCCCAAATCTCCCACTTCCAATGACTTTGCCCACTCAGTATCAACTGAAAAACTCCCCGTGCATGTCGAAAATTCAAAGTACTCTGAAACCTCCAAATTCATCCCTTTTGCGTCTGTCATGGGCAGAAAGTCCAAAAAGTCGCGTCCAATTTTAGCTATTCCTGATTCTCCAGTACCTTCCCTCGTTTCTGCCCCTGCAGGCTATTCGAATACTCGCCAGTACACTAATAGGCCTCCCGCTAAATCTATTTCATCCACTGTCCGCTCCGGAGACGACTCCCTCGAACCTAGGACCCCACCTGATGTCCAGACAGATCGTGTTTCATTCCCTCGCTCGGTTTTCACACTATCGGACCCTGATCCTTTCGCATCAGGCGGTATCTCTGTGCCCCGAAGCATCTTAGACCGGGGTAGAATATCTGCCTACTCCAGCACTTCAGCACATGATGTATTTTCAAATAAAGACGAAGTCGATTTTTTGCAGCATCCATCGCATCTCTCGATGTCCTCACAGTCTCACAGTGACAGTGACAATACGACACCATCACTGGAATCTACTGGGTTCCGTTTGTCTCCTATAGCAGACGGCCGGGGCACATTGCCTAGGTAGGGACTTGTTGTTCTTGCAAAAATTTCCGTCCTCAACTCTCGTCCAGTAGAGAAATGTCCAAGAGAAACAAGATAATAGACGATCAAAAAACCCTAGAAAGCCCTGTGCATTGCAGCTCTTTGAATAAACCCTCTAAACCTTCGCTGTCAAAGCATGGATCTGCGGTAACCTTGACTGATCAGAGTCGCAAAGGCCCCCCAGATTTTCCTGCTGTGGCTGTGCGACCCACAATTTATTCAAGGGGCTATGCGACGCCCAGCCCGTTCCAGGGTGCGAGCACTGTGTCTCGGCCTCGAAAAACATCCACTCCTCCCTCCGCCGAAGTATATGTTCGCTCTCGTACCCTCAGCCTGCCAACAATCCACCTCTCGTCCTGCTCCAGCTCGTGAACTTCCCCCACCTCCTACAGTGTCACACGTCACATTTACCGCCGCGGACGACGGTGCCGAAGATAAATCTCCGTTATCGGCGGATGGGAGTTCTTCCGACATATCGTGTGCTTCAGCCATTTGGCGGATCCAAGACCTAGCAATGGATGAAATTAATGATCAACGTTATCCGCCATATAAAGAGATCAGCCTAGGCTTTGATTGTGACTTCGGTACTCAGCGCCAACGGGTAAAGAAGTCGAGCCGCATTCACGTCAGGGACGCCGCAGAATCGTCTCCACCACCACTAGCTTTCCACCAGCTGAAGAAGTCTATGTCGCATTCAACCCTGCAAAAGGCTAAACCAAGTTCCGGCGGTATGCAAGAATCTTTTGGAGGAGACAAGGGATTGAAAAAACAACATTCCTTCCATCGTTCACGTGCCTACACACCCCCTACTTCTACGCCAACCTCTCCTTCCACACCATCCGATCACGATCCTTTATCAACAGAAGGCCGTATACCACCGCTCCCACATTCTCACACTGTTGTGCGAAAACGTATGTTTTCAGGCTCTAGGAAACCGTCAACAGCAATGACAGATGAAGATTTACGCTCGGTATTCAGTCTTCCAACAGAAGCAGGGTGCTCCCACTTGACATCACCCAGAGCTGTTGTGTCCCTGCTTGATGAACCTTCTTCAGAATCTCTTGCATCGGGTATAGTATACCCAGCCGCGGAGTTTACCCCGCAATATATCATGTCCCCCGCGGAAATGTTGAAGATGGAGGCCATTGTGCAGGGTGAATTTGACGCGAAGTATGGAGATGCTCTACGAAATCCCCAGCAAGCCACATTTGCATCGACGCCTATGTATGGTACCATGTACAGGAAGGAAGGCCTGAAGACGACTGTGTCGTCTTTTCCGCGTTCGGCCCCTACTCGCAGTGCATCAAATGTTTCCAAAGGACCCACGCCTAGATCATTTCCACGTCCCTCCACTGCACAAATAGTTTCTTCGACATTAACATCCCAGTCATCATTAACCAAAGTTGGTCTACCGCCCCCACAACGTCAACGAGCTCGGCCGCATACTGCCGAGACGATGTGCCATGAAGACCTATTTAACAGGCGATCAAGCAATGTCCCATTTATCCCTCTATCGCCGCCGCCGCGCCCAAAGTGTGCAATTGCAATTCGAACACCATCGCTCGTGGGCGACACGGCGGTACCGCAGCGATCCGTAATTAGGAAGCCCTCCTTCCTGGAGATTACGGATGACGCCAATTGTTATGAAGGCAGCTTCCTGGATTTTGACAGCGGAAAAGAGTCTTTTGATCTCTCCTTCGACTGACTTCAACTGATGAAGAAGATGGGAATTCTATCCCCATTTGATACAGCCTTTTTTCCGATAGACACGTTCTTTTAAATTGATCAATTATTCGGTCTATTATTCTTACGTTACTTACTCTACTGCTCGAATATTAATATACTGACACCTTCAACCCATTGTCTTAGTAGTTTAAGTCGTCCTACATTTTTGCCGCTCCCTCGTCATTACCCCTACCAGCCACTTATATCAATGGTCTCTGCTACTGTCGTTTGCTAGGCATACACATTTCGCTTTTTAGAGCGGCAAAAATATTCGACCAAGAACCCTTTTGAACGGAGAACATTATGTGGTTACATTTGGTTCGCAGATCCTCCTGGCAATTCCACAACCAAGTAAATTAGAAGAAAACTACTTAAGTGATACGTCATATTCCGATCATCTATCAATCCGTTTCGTCAGTGTGATAACCCGCACGCCTCATCGCGCCCAGACGATGTCTCGCTGCGCCAAGATCCTTCTCCAGTTTCAAAATCTCGACCTGCTGCTCCATCTCGCGTCTCTTATATTCCAGTACAGCCATGTTTTTGTAGTCCATCTCCTCTTCAACTACCTGCTTCGCAGAGACTGCCTTCACTTGTCTGACAAGCGCTTTGCATGCTTCTATCACCGCTTTTGCAGCAAGCTCGAGGCGCTCCTGAGTCTTAGACATCAAGTTGGCCTTGACACGAGAGGCTGCTACGAGTTGGGCGGTGGATGCCGCTACCTCATTCGAGGCCACGATCAGCTGTTCAAGGGAATGTGTGCCTGACAGCACACCATCCGCGCTTTCTATAAGAAGGTTGGTAGCAAATGCCACAGCTTTAGCAGCTGAGATAAGACCCTCCGTCCATCTGTTGTTCCGCTTGTAGAACTGCTGGACTGAGCTTGAGCCCTTGCCTTGGGCAACGATTTCTTGCTGAGACTCTGTAGCAGCTTTGATGAGTCTTGCGATAGCGCTTGTGATTGCCATGGCGGCGGACAGGATAGAATCATGGACTTGCAGATCAACTGCGCTGAACCGTGCGGAGTCCCGGGGCCGAGACATGAGCTCCTGCAAACGCTGAGTAGCAGCTTCTATGGCTGCCGCAGCGCTCTGCATTTCGTGCTCGACAATGTCGCCGATGTCACCATTGGCCCGTGCCAAAGCACCACCCTTGGTACCTTTGGGTATGAGCGTGTCAACGACTTCCGAGAGACGAGTAAGGGCGGTTCGCGTTTCGCTGTTGTTGCGCATCGAAACTTCCTTCCGCTGTGCGGGTTGCAGGAGATCAAGCTTGTAGGACTGCAGGTTCAAGAAGAAGCGCAGGCCAATGTCACCGGCGCTCTTAGCTACTGCAACAATCTTGTCCGAGGCGTCATCGTCGTTAGCGAGTCGTGTGACACCTTTGCAGTTAATGAGAACATCTGAAAGGACCTGTGCGAACTCATTGGCGCCCTTAATGACGTCGACGTAATCGCCTCCGACATCACCACTGAGGTGGAGATTAAAGACCATCGCGAAATCTGTGGCGTTATTTATAGCCTTCTCGATCATTGACAACGTGTACTCCGGCGTGGAGTTGATATTGCCAGCTTGGGTTGGTGACTCAAGCTCGTAAATGGCGTCGTCGACTTTCTGCACGCAGGCCTGCAGGATTGAATCTGTGTACACGAGTGAGCTTGTTACGAGGTGCATGTAGCACTCATATGGTACGAACCGATGACCTGGTTGAGCTTCTTTCGGTTGTCGAGAATAAGGGTGTCAATTTGGGCATTCGTTGCTTCTTCGCTGAGACCTTGGTTCTGCAAGGATACTGTCAGCATCAGTAAATGCAACGGATGGATGCCAACAGACCTGCTGCGCTTCAGAAAGCGATTGGATGGTGCTATCCATACCCTCTTGAAGAATCAAGATTTCTTGATCCTTCTCATCTCTGAGACGCTCCATGTCACCACTAGCGTTGTTGAGTTTTACGAGTAGGTCATCGATTTGCATTTGCTTGGACTGCAACAAAAATATTAGAGAAATCAGAAAAAATGAGTATAACACACCCGTAATGAGTCCTCAAGCTCTGTGAGCTGACGGTTATACTTGCTCAACACACTCGATACCTCCGAACTCTTGGAGCGTGTTGCATCCTCAGCGCGCTCGTTCGCGAAATTTATCTCGCGGCGCAGGCGGTCAATTTCGTCTTTGTGTGAGGATTTTTGGCGATCGATATCAAAGCGTGCCCGGTCGCGTTCACGAATCATATCAGCGAGTTCTAGGTTTTTAGCCTTCAGGTCGCGCTCCATACGCTCCATGCGGTCTACGGCCTCCTGCGCTGAATTAGCCTTGAGTTGCAGTTGCTTGAACTTCGAAAGCATGTCCAGGTGTTCAGTCCGTAGCTGGCTATAGAGTTTTGCCAGTGCTTCATATTTGTTCCGCCAAAGGGTCACTTGGTCCTGGAGTTGTTTGATCAATTCGTCCTTCGATGCCATTTGTGCATGAATATTGGACGTTACTCCGCCGAGCTCACCCTCCAGCGCTTTCACCCGCTATTGAATTTATGAGCATGTGGGACATAAGTCACACATATTACTTACTCGATCGTATTGTTCCAGAAGCAGCTGGTCGCGCTCGTACTGCCCCCTCATAGCGAGCAGCTCGCGTTCATAATCACTGACCTGCTGAACGGCTTGATTATTGTACTGCATCATCTGCTGCTGCATAAGCTGCTCCTGTGCAAGGCGCTCCCGCTCTGCCTGTTCCCGTTGCCGTTGTTCAAATTCACGTTGCTGCTGTGCCTCGAGCTCTAGCCTCTGACGTTCCTCGGCTTCACGTTGTGCACGTAAAGCAGCCTGCTGGTCTTCATATTGTTTGAGCATACGGGCTTGCTCATTAACAACAGCTGCATCAGGGGCAGGTGAAGGTGCAGCTGGGGGAGCTGGTGAAGCTACACTGGTAGTTTTGGGTCTCGCAGGGAGGTCGGGAGCACTTCCGGTATCCAACAGGTTTGGAGGTTCCTATCGGGGATATCAAATTTAGGACGTGACAAGGAGTTATCATAGCATACCTGACCCAGTTTAGGAACGTTTATCAAGCCGGTCAAATATTTGAGATTCGAACACTCGTAGTAGAATTTTCTTAAATTATAGTGTTGCGAGTTGAACCGCTGGCGGAGGGGTTCCAGTGCGTCGTGGTCATTCGTTCCTGAAAAGTCGATGAGCTTCGACAACACATAGCTGTGATGTCCTTACTTCGGTGCATGGCGCGAAGCATGCTTGTAATGAATCGATAAATACCCCAGCTTTCCTTGACCAGGGGCACTAATGAAGAGATACGACATTCATTATTGGCAGAATGCCTAAAGTGAGAAAACACCATCCGCTGGAACGATTCGATTTGGTCCTGAAGGCCCATGAGGTCTGAGATGGTTTCATAACTATTAAAGATGTCGATGTGTATTAGCATCTAGTGATGGGTAAATACTCACCCCTCATTAGGGTCATCGATGCCTTTCAACGAGATGTATTCCTCGTATTCAAACAATCCATTAAATTCCGGTCTCAGGCGGTGGAAACGCAATTTGGCCAGAATAAACTGAACGTAGGTTCTGATTAATGGTCCATAGCCTATGGACAGGGTCACATGACATACATGACTTGAAAACAGAAACCTTACCGCGTTGACCCTCTGTGGCAACAGTCCTGGCGCAAGTCTCTAACCATCCCGCTTGGCCATGAGCCTCTTTGATTGTCTGAGGGAGAACCGATAGTTAGGTGCTGGTAGCCATCGGTGAGTAAGTTACACACCACTGGGTGGCCTTCTTGCAACACTTTATGTACAGTAATGAGAGCCTTAAAAGTTTGGACTTCATCAGACAAGATAGGTTGCACCCGCAAACCGCTCCAGAAAGATATTGAACTATGGTAATCCCAAGTATAAACGATGCATTCTTTAGTGAGGTTAACGAGACTGCTGATTGGGAATAGAAGGTTGAACGCATACTTCGGACATGCTTCTGCTTCGGAGCTGATTCCTCTGGGCTTGTTGCTTTCTTGATATTGATCACAAGCTCGTTCTCTGCCTTGTCCTTGTCGACCGGCCTGGTGGGGTAGTGGACCTCGTCACCATCAATATCGAAGTTCGGACGTCGTCTGGTAGACCTGCATGATCTGGGTTATGAGTCATTTTCAAACCGTCATTTGGTTGGGTTCAGCGTACATGTATGCCCAATGCCAATAATTAGATTGAGGAGAAGGAACAAATGAACTTGGGCGAGAGAAAGCCCCGCAGTCATGTCAGCAGCCGTGGGAATCCAGTCTACTTACCAGTTAGTAGACCAAACTGCCTCTCTCATAAACATGCTGCAGCGGCTGGCTGCGTCGAGGTCAAGATGGCGGGATACTATTATGAAAACGCGTCGATGGCTCCATAGCGAGGACTCTCAAGCGACAAAATCTTATACCGCACGCAAGAATTCTTGGTTTAGCCCGACGATCTTCGCACTAGGATTTATCCCGGTTTTCACCTTCGCCTTGGGAACTTGGCAGATGCAACGTTTACAATGGAAAGTGGCCCTGATAGACGAGCTTCAGGAGAAACTCCATCGAGAGCCGATCTTTCTTCCCAAGCGAGTAAAGTGCGTACATCACAGCATCATTACACGGTCGAGGCTGAGTAGGTCGCTGAGTAAGTCTCTCTGTCGTGCCAGAGTTCGTCTATCGTCGAGTGTTGCTCCGTGGTAGATGGGATTGTAAACACTCGATGCTTCTAGGTCCTCGCGTCCGGGAGGGCTCGCATGGATATCATGTTGTCACACCATTGATCAGGTCTGACGGATCAACCGTCCTCGTTGACCGCGGTTTCGTTGCAAAAGAGTTTGCTGATGCCAATACCTTCGAACGAGGGGAAGCAGGCGAGGTCGAAATATTGGGAATGTTAAGGACATCGCATACCCGAAACAGCTTTACCCCAGACAACAAACCAAATGAAGGAACGTGGTACTGGGCTGACGTCGATGCTATGGCAGACTGCGCTGGTGGAGAAGCAGAAAATGTACAGCCAGTATTCGTAGAACAGATCTATGGTATGCACCCGAGTGTCTACTTTGTGCCAGCTATCAATATAAGTTTTCAGATGGCTCATCTCAGGACGCTGCGTCGCGCCTGAGTAAGGGTATACCACTTGGACGCGCAGCTTCTGTTGATGTTCGCAACGCCCACCTTTCATATGTTATCACCTGGTGGGTGTCAGTTCGAAACCACGTATGTTATTGGCATACTGATGGATCATGACAGGTTTTCCCTGTCTGCCTTCACTACAGCTATGTTGGCGCGACTTGTATTGAAGCGAAGAGCTCAAAATCACCCCCGCCCACTACCAAGGTGATGGCTATTGTGCAGACGAACACTGCAGGGTGGCTTTCGCGAGCTATAGTTTACCGTCTTGCCACATCTCTCCACCAGTGACTCATCATACCTCATACAGTGTGAGATAATCAAAACAGAGTTGCTTATTATGCATTGAAGTGAACAGTGTTGAAACGACAATGGATACTCACTGTGGACACTAGCACTGGCCACCGCGGGTACCTCACAAGTGTGCCGCAACACTAGGCATATTCTCAGGTCTGTCAATCCCATGTCATTGTGCCACTATTGCTTGTGTTTTCCACCGCACACTAGTGGATTACCACTGTTCAGAGTTGTGGATGAATGCCACTCGCGCATGTGCTCGCCAGTGCTACTCACCTATTTAACTTCCCTTTCTCTGCAATCCACTTTTCTCATCTCACACCCTCCAAGTCATCATCCCAACCGTCTCTCATCTTTCTGTTTCCTACAACCGCCGCGATGTCTTTCAACACTGCTGCTCTGTATGGATGCCCTCAGGCCATCCCTTCCCCATACCCAGCTCGCTACGAGCCACATCCCCCGCGCCGGCCGCGCGCTTCTACGATGACACAGGAAGCAAAAACTCAATGGCGTCGTGATGCACAGCGAATGCCGGGCTTACACGCGACAGCCAACTTCCAACCACCTATCCTTAGCCGAGAGTACTCAGCCATGTGTGATGATGTCGAGGTTCAGAATGATTGGGCTCTAGCAGCCAGAGAGCAAGGTATATCAACTTTTTTATTTGCTAGTAATGTGTTGGCCTCATCTGATGGCGGAATACAGAGTCGGCGTGTCAGCTGCAAGTCGAGCGTTCCCCTAATTATGAGCAACACGCACGTGAAAATAAGAAACACAAACGCGTCTCTTTCGACACTGAGCGAGGGCGTCGTGCGTCTATTGATAGAAAGCGTGCACGGCATGAATCTATCGATCGTGAACGAAGGGGTCGTGTGTCTCTTGACCGACCACAAGAACACCCCGCATTTATCGATTACGATCGAGAGCGTCGTGCATCTGTTGGCCGCGAGCGGCAGCGTCATGATTCCTTTGATCGCGAGCGACAGCATCGTGCATCTGTTGACCGCGAGGGACGGCGTCGTGAGTCTGTTGATCGCGAACGTGAGCGTCGTGCTTCTATCGACCGGAGACGCGAGCGCGAGCGCGACATGTCGATTGGGTGTCGTGGCCGATGTGAATCTGTTTCTAGGATGTTCCCTCGTCCACCAGTTTGTGCTGTGTCCTTCAAGCCTCCTACCACAGGTCCCCAATCCCGTTATCGCAAATCTGAACCCGAATCTGTGACGGTTTCCCATCCACCAATGTGTGCTGTCTCCTTCAAGCCTCCTACCACAGATTCCAAACCCCGTCATCGCAAATCTGAATCTGTGACGTTTTCCCGTCCACCAGTTTGTGCCGTCTCCTTCAAGCCTCCTACCACGGGTCCCCGATCTCGCCATTGCAATTCTGATTCTGATTCTGTGGCGTTTCCCCGCCCACCACTTCACGCTACCTCCTTCAAGCCTCCTACCACAGGTCCCCAATCTCGTCATCCTCGTCGATCATCGTTCGACTACGCGACTGGTCACGGTTACTCCGGTGAACGCCAACATCCTGTTTATGTTTTACCTCCGGCTGGTGTGTTTCATAGCTTGGTGTATGGACTATTCTAACTTTTCATCTGCGATGTCTAGCTCCAGCTCCACAGATACCTCTGCCCCCACGACAATGTGATCGCACTACCTCGGTGGAGGCGGTTCGTCGCCTTCCTTTCCTCAGCCCCGAGGTCCCTTCGTTTGAAAAGTCTAAGCCGTCTGGGCTAACCCGCTTCAATCCCTTCAACAGGCTGCGCTTGGCGACTATGTCTACTTCGCAGAAGATCCGCCGCAAAACTGTTAGCAGAGCATGATCTTGCTTTTGTGTCCCACATCCCAATATAATTCATTGATTTAGACTCATAGCCCTTTCCTTAACATGATACATCCATGCAACCTATATTTATTTTACATAGAACATACCCTAGATGTCTTGTTAGACTGTACTGTGTACCGATAGGTACTGCTTTTCACTAGTTTTTGACTCCGAATCCTGACCCTCGTTGTAATCACACGGAAATTTCTTGGCATGTGTTATATATATATTACTTGTTTCCATATGAAGAAATTCGCCCTGATGCGGCATCCAACAGCCTCTGCCTCCAATCCTTTCATAGCGCTGCCCTCAGCTTGCTTTGAACTCTCCGCAAGTGAATGGCAGAACCAGGCCCAGGTCCTGCTCTATCGACAAGCTTCAGTCAAACACCAACTCCTAACCACGATACTTCACCTCTTCCTCGCATCCGCTTTCCCAACCAGTTCCTTGCACCATCACCTCATGGAGAGTCGTCACATTCATCCATAGGATCTCCTGGTCCTCCTATTCTACCAATGAAAGACTTTGTCGACGGAAACGTTCGTCCTCTTTCCAAGGACGTTACTCCTGGGATCCTCCCTGAGATCTCTCCGAAGAGATATTCATCTCGCAGCGTTGAGCTACGGCGTAGGTCTAAGAGAATGAGTCAGAGCAGAGGCTTGTCTGCTCTTAAAGACCCTTTTGTAGCTGAGTTCGAACCCTCAGCTTTCTCGGACGAATATGACTTGTGTGAGTCCCATGCTTCTGCTTACATGTTAACACTGACGGTCCACATTCATAACGTAGCTCATGAGGGCAAGTAGAATGATTATTAGCTGTGTGACTACTCACGAACATACTCATCTAGACCCTAAGATACTCCAAGATGTTCAACGAGCCCTAGAACTGCAATCTCGAAGGCGAGATCGCAAGTCATTCACCCCGTCACAGCCAACTGTTGTAGAAGGTCAAACTCTAAGCGAACCGAAGCAGGATACATCTTTTCAACAGTCTCCTCCAGCATCTACTCCGAGTTTCACTCGTCCTTCACGTCCTCCTTTGGACATTGACTTCAGCCCATCTGTCCAGGCAGTTCCCCTTCACCCTGTCCCTCTTTCTTCGAATGCGGGTGCTACTTTGGATTGGACTGGGTCCCAGTCTGAAGAAGAAAGACTTGAAAGACGTTGGTCATTGGGAAAACGTAAAGGCAAAGACAGAGCCTCGCTTTCAAACAAAGCCGTATTGGAAAAGCAAGACACTCTTTTTGCAGGTGAGCCCTTGGAGACGGGTTGCCACATAATCACATGCTAACTTTATTGCACAGATAGGATTTCTAGGATCAGATCAAAAACAAAACAGCCCACATTCCGCAAGGCAGCTATTGTTAGTGACCAATTAGGACGGAGGTATAATCTTGTGTATAATTCCATTTCGAACGAGGACCCCATCAACCTCGCGAAAGCCACGCGGTGGTACGTTGATTCTGATCCGGGCGCGCAAGCCTGGTTAGATAGCGCTGAGCCACTCACTTGGCTCAAACACCTATTAGACAAAAATGGCAGCAAACGATCGAAATGGCATTTGTCGGCTTTGATCGTGGAAGAGTACATTAAATCCAATAGGATAGATTCCACTTTGCCTATCATTCGTGACGATTCTACCTCTGCTCGGGGGGGATCATTCCCTTCGGATGTGTCACTAATCCTTCCGTCATATCCCTTTCATTCGATCAGATCCTCCCCCTCGCTACATCATTCTTTCGGAGATTCACTCAGAAGAATACGCTCCTCAGATGGCCAACTTTCATTCGAGCCTAGAATTGACTCTGTGCGCAGCTCGATAGACGGCGATTACAGGAGGGCTAATGAAAAGAATCGAGGTTTGCGTCATGTCATCCCGGCTCTCGTTGATGCCCATAGTATCGCATCTACCACATCTCCTTATCGTCACCAGAGCTCCCCAGGCGGACTTTCACCAGCTAGCAGTCGGCACCTTCCATTTGCTCAACGGATACGGCGTCGGCAGGTGGAGAGTGATGAAGGATCTTCCTCTATCATTCACTCGCAGTCAGACGACTATAGTGGATCGTTCGCTGGTGTTACTGGTCATCGTCGTAAGAGGCGCGATCGGAGGCAGCCTCATGCGCCTTCATCATATCTACCGTCACCCCGTGAATCGGGAACTGAGACCAATGCTCCCGACAAGACGTCAGCTGTACATGAGGCGACTTCTGCACCTGTGGAGGATCCGTTGCCCTCTGAACTGGCTTCAGAACGTGGGATTGAACTGCCTCGTGACAAGCCTGAATCTGAGCTTTCCGTCATTCCACCGCAAGCAATTACACGTCAGAGGCTAATCCACCGGATGTCCCTACCCATCCCCGACGTAGCCAAGAGACCAGAGCGAAAGCAGCGCGAAGAAGCCGAGGAGGAAGAACTAGAGCATGAGTATGAGAAGAAGTTGCAGTAAGTGTTTCTTTTCCCTTTGAAGACGTCTATAGCTAAAAGGTCCGATAAGGACGCTAGATGAACTTAAGGCGCAGAACCATCGGGTACGCCAGAAACTACAGAAGATCGCTGCAGAGGTCCGGGAATATGACAACCTACAAGCAAGGATGGCCAACACGCATGGTATTCCGCATCGAGGCCTACCTGTAGAGCTTTTGGAAGCTTTTAACCAGGATCCTTCATCGGTCACTGGCGGGACTCGGGAGCGGAAAGGGTGGAGGGCCGTCGAGGACGTACATACTCGCATTCTTCGACAACAACACATTTTCAAGATGTACCTTTCTGTTGCCGAGGAAGATGTGGTGCCAGATAGCTTGCTCGATGAGCCCATATCGTCGCTTATGGATACACTGGGTCAATTGGAATATAAGAGGGAGGCTCTAACGCACAAGCAGTTGGAAGTGGCTAGCGCTCTGGCTAAAGTCAAGAGTCTGCACACTCGAGTCAAAAACGGGCACAACAATGCCCTCTCGCGCACTTCAGTTGCTTACCCAGAGGTATAGTCACATCGTCAATTGTTTTATTATATCTACTAACCATCTTCTAGCTCTCTCAAATCATCGCACTAGAAGAAAGCTACAAGGATCCATACCAGCATATATGGGAGTTCGGAATGGATGCTTTGACGTTCATCCTCGACAATGTTGCGCCAGTTTGGAGGAATTATGGGAGGACCATCGGCGAAGATATCAAAGATTTCCTCATTATACCCTGGTACCGAAACGAGTTCACGGGAGAGCCGAAGCGGTACGACATCACATCGTTTCCTCGTCGTTCCGTCCGCCACTGGTTCGCATTCTTCTTCCTCTTTTTGTGCACATTCGCCATCACCTATCTGCAAACGCGCGCAGCCATTTTTTGTACATTCATGTATTGGCATCCTTGGATCGACAATTCGGGTTTCCGATGGTTGATCATGCCGTGCATATGGATCGCTTTCCTCATTCATTGGTCTGCTGTTCTCTTCGAGGTTGTGATCATTATTCTGGAGCTTAGAGTCGTTACTTGGTGGTTGGGTTGGTCAGTGGGCCTCTTTACGTGAGCCTTTATTCCGCCTATCATTTATCTAGGATCTTAGACTCTGGTCATTTGCATCACTGTAATCGCATATCACGCACACACGCATTCGATGTACACATAATTATCTTGCTAATGATATTTAGGTCAGCTTGGCATCGGACGTCAGTACATTACTCGTCTGCTCTGTTGCTGAGGCTTTAGGATACGAAACAAAAACCGCGTGGGTCTTTGAAGCAGTAGCGGACTGATGTTGGGCATCTGGAGTATGTGAGGTGCTGCCTTGCCTCGAGTGTTGTGCGGAGGATTGGTAGGAGTACCGGCTACTGCCTACTTGCGGTATATCATCGATAGCGCAGCCGGCTTCAACACACGGTCGACAGTATCCTGGGTGTCGTGATCGATGTCAGAGAGTAAACCCAAGGCAAGAGTATGAAAACCTACTTCCGCCCATAATTAAAGGGACATCTGTTTGTCCGCACGCAAAGCAAGCTATTTTGGGTAATGAAGGCGTGGATTTCGGCTGTGTTTGGCGCCTTTTCTTTGGTGGAGGTGGAGTTGGCTCTCCGCTTTGTTGCACAGGTCCTGCGTCTTGAGGTGGAGGTGGAGGCTGAGACTGGGTCTGCTGTGGCTGAGGCTGTGGCTGAAGCTGAGGTTGAGGATGAGGTTGAGGCTGGGCCTGGGCCTGAGGAGGTTTGCGAGGTGCCGCCTTGCGTTTTGGTTTATTACTGCTTTCTGCAGCTGATCTGAGGAGCCTCGTAGAGAATATAGGAACTGCAGCCTGTGTTCCGTCAGAATCAAGTAAGATCTGTATGATTGCAGTGCACTGACGTTTTGAATTTGGGCTAGTAGAGAGCCCTCTGCTATTCTGTGTGCCAAGTATACTCGTCGAGGTGTATTCTTGGTGAAACATTAGAAGAATTCTACTTTACAAGGACTTCATGCTTACAATGGATTCGAGAATCTTGCGGTTTTCTTCTAACTTGTCTTCAGAGCCGATCCAGCGTAATATCGAATCCCATATGGGAGCACTCGCCCCGGTGAAAGTAAATGTGACCACTTCCTGGGGTTCTGGTGTCTTCGACCGAACTTGTCCATCGGGTTGGGACTCCAAAACTACTTCGGTCCGTTGTTCAAACGGAATACGCGTAGACAGTGTTATTTCGCCATATGATCCCATTGACCCTGGCACTGGGGTGAAATTGCCTACGGCAGGACCACGAGGGAAAATCCAACGGTCCGTAGGACACTCACGGAATTCGATTACGATATCAAAATCCTTGGTTCGATACACTGGGTGAATAGGCGACGCTGCACCATTAGCCACAGCCGTTGCTGTGTTCTGCGCCTGTGCGGATTGCATCGAAGAAGCATCCAGGTTCAGTCCGGATGAAGATGCGAGTTGCTGTATCGTTACGCCAAGGTTTTTGAGTTGGTCCATGGATGCGTTTCCTGAGGCAGCCAGTTGTAATAAGTTGGCCAATGTCGGATTGGAGAGAGCTGCTGCATTCACTTGGTTGATAAGCGTCGGTGGGATACTTGGAGAGTTTGGTAATGACGAAAGGAGGGGAGTAGTAGATCCTTGTGGCGCAGAGACAGAACTGGTGGCACCTTGTTGCTGCGTATAGGTAGTTCCAGGTGCTGTGTGCACAAGAATGGGGTGATAGTGTACTTCAAACATGGTTGTTTCTGTGAATATGTGCGGACCA